GTGGCTTCCTAGAACTAAACCAGGGTAATGGATCTGACTGAAACTTCCTAAAGTATTTCTCAGTCTTCACATGAGCTTCGTCAATGTTTCCAAGAGACAGTTAAGGCCACCGAACTCTTGATTATCAACATGCATTTTTTACGAATTTTTGTACACGGAGGTGCCAACCTAGGAGGGAAGTCATGATGCCTAAACTTAATAGTGGTCACTGATACGTAGTTTGGGGGTGCAAATTATGTCGCTTGCTTCCCTTATCTGATCGACCAATAAAAAGTCCAGGACAGAGGGGCAAGACTCAGTATCTTATTGTGCTGGTTCACAAATCCTCTGTTCATGTGCATGCTTAAGAAGACTTGACACATTAGCTGTTCAGTCCAGTCAGTCTTAATTCCTACCAACAGGAATGTAGGACAAAAGGTCACTTATTATCAGGCACCTGTTTGTAGCACTTCAAATCCGATGATTAGCCGGTACGAAGTTACCAACTCCTTAGGTGGGACTTCCGTCATAGGACCCAGTTCACGTTAATAACAAACTTGCGGCTTAATTGGTGCCTATTCCGAGCCCTGCTGACAATGTTCACTTAATTCTCACGTCACCTCGAATGTTCGGCTTGCCCACTAGTGGCTGTTCCGCATATCAATAGCGACAACCCCAAACGCCGGATGTTTTCCTAATCTCTTTCTTCTGTTAACCCCTTGGATGTCAGAAGTCTAACTGCTTCTTTAAAGGGATCTCTACACATTTACAACAGAATTTACATATCTATGGGGATGATGACTTACTGCAGTCCCTGTAGACCTAGGATGTCAAACCGGAGAAAAATTTAAGAGACATCAAGAGACGCAAAGGGACACAAGTCGGGAAAGAATTAACGAAAAGCAGTGAGGACGCTTCTTTGACTGGATTATTCAGTTAAAGTTAACCAAAGACAGCTGTATTTGCAATTAACTTGACAAAAGTCAGGGTGTGCTGTTGTTTAGGGTTGAGAAACCTCCCATGAATACCCAAATGGAAAAAGTAATGAAAAGCCTTTTTAAGGTCAGAGGATTCTGCATCGGCAAGAACACTACCGCCAAATACGTCAGCCTAAAATTCAGGTGCCACTGAAGATTGGTAAAGCAACAACGGTCTAAACTCAAAACTATGCTGTTCTTCTGCATAAATCTCTTTTTCTCTAGTCTTCTGAACGGATATATCACGGAGGACCTTCCCTAAGTCCTAATAAAAGCATCAGTCTGACTAACAGCAAGATCATTCTAGATGGAATTTCTAATCCTGGTTTTGACGACCAGGTTGATGGAATCACCTTCGTAGATGCTTCTACCAACTGGGTAGCACCCTGGACAAAACTAACAACGTTCCATTTTTGGTCTTGGCGCTGGTTATAATATTTGCCCCCACGTAACTTGAAGTCTTTTCAGTTCGGTCATTTTCAAAACAGAGACCATCACTGTTTGCTTCATTAAACAAAAGTATTGAGGCTACAACATTTGATCTATTATTATTGACTGAATTTGGTTGTTGATGGTGAGTGACAAAGATTTCCAGACTGGTTTCAGATTGATGAATGTGTTTCTCGCCTACCCGATTCTCGCTCGATTTGACATCCTCGAGTGTTCCTCCTGTAGTTGAGACAATGCTCCCTAGATAAGCGAATGAAGTAACCTCTTTCAGATCTCTCCCGTTGATGGTGATTGGCACTGGATGTTGCCGGTGCTGTTGTTGTTGGTTGGTTGGTTATTTTCATAACCTCCGTCTTGTCTATGTTCACCTGGAGTCCTGTCTTCGCCAGCTGCTTCTTCGACCAGTTTGTCGGTTTTCGCTTGTAAGTCTTCGATTGTGTGTGACATCGAACATAAATCTAAATCATCCACGCGCGAAATCCAGGTCTTCTAGGTTCTTCGCGTCGGTCTAGGATATCCCTCTCTTCTCGTTCCCCACTGTCTGACGCATAGTCCAATCAGTCCACCACAATTAGGAATATCATTGGTGATAATAATCACCCTTGTCTGACTCCTGTGTTTACTCCAAACGCCTCGCTGAGTTTTCCGTTGTGGATCACTTGACACGTGCCGTTGTCGTACATCTGTTGAATAAGGTTGGTGAATATTTGCGGTACTCGAGTAGTTTCCAAATTACTTCACGGTCAACGCTGTCAAAGGCCTTCTCTAAGTCTATAAAGTTGAGGAAGAGGTTCGATTGCCATCCCATGCTTTGTTCGATGATGATGCGTAGAGTTGCAATTTGGTCAGAACATGATTCGCCTTTCCTGAATCCAGCTTGTTCTGGTCGGAGCTCTGTATCCAGTGCATCCTTTAATCTCTCCAGGATGATGCGACTCAGGATTTTACTTGGCGTCAACAGGAGCATGGTTCCTCACCAGTTCTTGCAGAGTCCTAAGTCGCCCTTCTTTGGTAGTTTCACGAGGTAACCTTTACTCCAGTCAGTAGGCACCTTTCCCTCCTTCCAGACCTTTTGCAATAATGGAGTCAGCATATCTGCTGTCGTCTCTGAGTCCACTTTCAGTGCTTCAGGGGGTATTCCATCTGGTTCAGCTGCTTTTCCAGCTTTCAGAAGCTTGATTGCATTAGAGACTTCAGCTCTCGTTGGAGGATTGGTGTCAACTTGCAGTTGTGTGTGCGCTGTTGTTGGTATTTCTGGACGGGTTGCAGGTGGTGGTCTGTTTCAGAGTCCTTTGAAGTGATCCGCCCATTGTTTAATCTGTTTTTCTTCCTTGGTAATGGGCTTCCCTTGGCTGTCTTTCATAGGTTTCGCTTGTGTTGGTCTCTTCCCGGATAGAGATTTGGTTATCTGATATAGTGACCTCAGGTCCTTTTTGCCTGCTGCCTTCTCTGCTTCGGTGACCAGGTTGTCGTAGAATCGTCTTTTGTCCTTCCTAGCACTTTTCTTTACTTCTTTGTCCAATGCTTTGTAAGTTGAGCTCATCGTCTCCTTCTCCTGTCTGTCCTTGCATTGAATCATTTTCTCTTTCACCATTCTCCTCTCTTCTATTAGATTCCAAGTGTCCGTTGAGAGCCATTCCTTGCCTTATCTTTTCTTTCTTCCTAGAACCGTTGAACACGTTTCGTTAAAAATTACCTTCAGAGAGTTCCAGTGGTCTTCCACTCATGATTCTTCAGTGATGTCACGAAGTGTTTCCTGCTTTGCTCTGACAGTTGCGGTGAAAGTGTCTATTGTGGTTGTGTCCTTCAGTTTTTGAGTGTTGAACTTGCACTGTGGCCTATCCCCAGCTATCCTCAAGGCTTTCAGCTTCATCTCGGGAATCCATTGTGCTAGATAGTGGTCTAGACCCACATCTGCTCCCCTCCTCGACCTTGTGTCCAGTAGGCTCCGTCTCCACCTTCTTGAGATTGAAATGGAGTCTGTCCGGTTTTTGGTGTTTCCATCTGGTGAAATCCATGTCACCTTGTGTATATCCTTGTGTTTGAACACACTGCCACAAATCACAAAGTCATTGAAGGCACAGAAGTCTGAGAAGAGTCCACCATTGTCGTTCATTTCACCAAGGGCCTCTCGACCCATGGTGAGTTCTCTTCCTGTGTTGTCCCCTCTCAGCTTCGCATTCATATCACCCATCAGGATTTTGATATCGCCATTTGGGACGTTGTCCATTATTGTTTGTAGTTGTCTGTAGAACGCCTCCTTCTTTCCTTGTTCTGAGACGTTTGTAGGCGCATAACATTGAATGACTGTAACTTTCTTTCCTTTCTGGCTGTCATTATCCTGGAGGAGATTGGTTCCCACTGCATGAGAGCTTTGGCTGCTGTTGGCGACATCATGGTGGCCACTCCCTTGGTGTGCTCGTGGTTGTCCTCTGCGTGGCCGGAAAAGATTATTGTCTCTCCAGTTGGCACCTTCCAGTTCTGTTCCATTTGCTTTCGCAGATTCCCAACACTTCTATTCTATACCTTCTCATTTCAGCGGCTATCTGGGCAGCCTTTCCAGTTTCGTACATTGCCCGGACATTCCAGGTACCCATCCTTACTTTTGCTTTCATCGAAAGAAGGCACATCGGCTGACTGGCTTCCCGAAGGCTTTCACCAGCCTGCACCATTTCGCTTCTCCGATTCCAGCGAAAAATAAGGTTACTGTTTATATTTATAGAATTTTTAATATATTTGTGCATTGAAGATTCTGTAGCGATTTGGTGAAGTTTTGGGGGTGGAGTTGCTAGCACCACTCCCCAACCCTCCCTCTTTATCCGGACTTGGGACCGGGTAGAAAACTAGCGAGCTAGTAGTCTAGGCGAGGTTGCATTTGATCTGCTTGGTACTAAACATGATAACCGGGAGGCAAGCAAAATTCCATGATGGTACAAACTATTGATCGGCGAGCAGTTGGAGACTACTCACATCAGCCAGTAGTGCTTGCTGACCAGACTGGAGTAACCTAAACATTGGTAATTGTGGTGGTATATATAAATCGCCTGGTTAGCATTTGGGTAGTTTGGATTGATTCACCTATCTGAAGTGAGTTGCTTCTTGTGCACCACTTAAGAGCTGAACACGGACGAAGCCACTTTCATATCGAACTGGTTCGCAAGAGCAGTTTACAGCTGCTGACACTAGTCAGTAGCGAAAACCAACCAGATTATTACCCGATAGAAGAAAGTAATTATTTAGATTTGTGAATCATAGTATGGAGCATTTCTATGTGTTCCATATTCATCCCTTTTTCCTTTCATCCTCTGGACTCCAAGTGAGACGTAGAGCTTCAAGGTTTGAGTCTTGAGGTTTTGGTAGAGGCTGGTGGCGTTAGCCACAGACAGACTAGTAAATTAGGCAAGGTTTAAGGGTGCGTCATCGGGAAATTCATCCGGGACCTTCTGAGTACCTGGTAGGCACACCAACTCTGAGCCACTGACGCACACACTTTTCGCCTCCTGAATGATAATAATCTCTTGAGAAAAGCGTACCAGTAAATGAAATTTTGAGAAACGAAAGAAATACAGAGTTATATAAATTCACGTATATTTGTACCAAAATAGACTGAATGTTTGGTAAAACAAACTTTTTTCATGTATACATTTGATTTAAATTTAAACAAGTTGACATGAATAATCATAATAGTTACCAAACTGAGTACTGTTTCATCCTTCATTATCACTATAATTATGCACCCTGGTGCTGGCTAAAATTTGTATTATATTACTACTATTATTGATATTTGTAGAATTCTTATCCAAATAACAAAAGGCTTTATTGTCTGTGGGAACCACATCCGCTCTCTGACATGTCAATTTCTTGTTTATACAATTCTCAGATCCATTATTTTTGTTGTTATTATTATCACAGTTCTCATTAATATTATTATTGACAAAATGGTTACAGTATAGTAAGTGATGATGGCATGGGAATTTAAAATATTCATACGAATTATTATTAGTATCACATTCATGGCAGCAGACTTGACTTTCATTGAACATAGAATTCAACTGGAGTTCATTTAAACAAACGGTATTATTATTATTATTGTCAATATCGCTTCCATGGTCATAATGAAGTATTAAAGAATTTCCGTATTGTAGTCTTCTATTACTGTTAATGCCTTTGTGATTATTAGAAAGGAGAGAATTATAACTTAATTCGTTATGCATAAATTTTGTTGAACAACGAGGAATTGTAGTGCAGAATTGTCCTCCAGTTTTAGGATGAAATATCGCGGTTTGGTCTAGTCCACTACTGTTATTAACGTCTGAAATCCTACTTTTAAAATGTGGACAAGTCAAGTAATTTGATTCAGATGGTATGCCCATATGAATTAACTGACCCTGACAAGTCTCTATATCCCAGAAAAAGAAAATTCAAAGTGAGAATGACCAGAAATAGTGAAATGCATATTTTTCCAAAAAAATGTTTAATTTCATCCTTTCAAACTAATTGACTGCTGAATAACAGTCGATAATGTAAATATCTAATCTATTTTCATCTTCATCTAACATAATACAGGTGGGAGGCGTTCATTACTCCGAAATTAGCGTGGAAATATACAACACTCAGTAAAAAAAGGAATAAGAGCCGAATGTTTGACACTAGTGTCAGTTCAGTCAGTGCTTTTGTATGGTTCACAGATTTGGAGCATGCGTCACGAAAAGCGTTTCCAATAGCTACCTTTTTCTGATACTGAAGAGTGGATGGCCTCCCAGAATGGATAAACAACTACCAACTCTGGTAAGAGTCTAAGCATTTGTTGCACAATAAATATTCAGAAAGAAATGGAAATGCATCAGACATACTTTAAGGAGACTGATGATTGACATCATACACTAGATCTTTCAGTGGAACCTGAGTGTGAAGCAAAGAGTTTGGTGTTCGAGAGTGACATGTAAAAGACATGAAGAGAAAATCAAAACCTGTGAGCAATCGTGAAGTCAACTAAAAGTGATGCTGGAGAATTCAGTCAAATTATGGGGTACTATATATGATGCAGTTTGAACAACTCAGCCACCTCTGTAATGAATGGCAAAGAATAAAGAGAATTATAAATTTCAGGTTTCGAAACTGTGTGGTTAGAGTTGACAGCACAATGGAAAATTCAGAGGGGCTTTTAAAGTGGAGGCAGAAGTATGACAAGACTGCCTACTATTATCGCCGATGATTCTCCCAATTATGGTGGATTGGACTATGTGATAGACTGTTGAAAACGAGAAGAAACGAATACGTCGGACCGATAGGAAGGCTCTACGACATCTAGACCTCTTGGACGATTTATGTCTAATGTCACATAAATTCGGAGACATACAGGTGAAAACCAACAAGTCGAGGGAAGAAGCGGTATAGATAAGACTTCGGGAGTTGAATAAAACCAACCAACAACAACCAGCACCAGTCACTATTAACGGAATAAATTCTCAAGGGGCTGTTTTCTTCACTTATCTAGAAAGCAACATTTTGAACACAGCCAACTCCAATGATGAGCATGTGAAAACCAGAATCGGAAATCCAAGACACACTTTCATCACTCTAAAATCAGTTTGGAGACCTTCACTCACCATAAAATATGAATTTAGGATTTTCAACACCGAAGTTAAGTCAGTCACTTGTTCTATATTGGTCAGAAACTTGGCCAGTGCGTCACGGAAAGCACTTCCAATAGGCGGCTGTAAGCGTTTATCAACACCTTATTGGTTCCACATCGAAGATCAGATGACCATAAAGAATAAGCAACAAGAAACTGTGGGAACGAGCCAATCAAGTACTTGTCGCTCAAGAAATATTCAGAAGAAAATGAAGGTGGATCAGAGTGAAATCATGCGCCAGACTGTCATTTGGAACCTGAATAGGCAACAATGAGTTCGGCGACCGAGACTGGGTGTAGGGAATCGTGGAGTTAGGTAAAGAAGACTTCAGAGGACAGGACGAAACGAATATGTGCTACTTAGGCTAGTGTTCTGCTCGGAACCCAAGGGAATAATAATAATAATATAGTAATACTGTATATGTGATTTATCCAATAAACAAATTAATACTAGGTTGCATTTTTAACAGAAAAGCTGTCAGAAGTGATAAATAGTTATATTCGTTGAGTACGTTTATTCGTGTATCAACACTAGTTCAGTGTCACGGAAACAAATTCAAGTTACTAGCAACTGTAGTACCCAGACATCCTATTAATGCCGTTCAGATATATATCAGTCTGCTATCACAAATATGAATAAATAATTTCAAATCATATCCGTTGCACAAGCAATACCTCACACAGTCCATTGGCTTATTGGGTAACTCTTTGACATCTGAAACGACGAATGCTCAGTTCGACTGTCAGTGGGAACTCCATTACTCACTTTGGGGTAAGTAGGTGTTATGATGTCTTAAAAGACGGGACGGAATCATATATCAAGATTGCACTGCTATCCATCACATCAAACAAGTAACTTCGAAATAAGTTGGTAAGTTTGTAATTCACTTCATTGACCACAGACAAATAAAGTTGTCCGTTTGGCTTACAATGTAAGGTAGGTGAGATAAACACTTAAATTCTAATCATTGTCGAATCACTCTGCATAGACAATTATTAAATAGAGTTGTGGCTTGCTTGGTCTGCGTTCAGGACTTTAGGTCACAGGTTTGAACCTCGTTCCACTTACTGAGTTTTGTGCAGCTAGTAAGTAGGTGGTGTAAACAGTGTGACTCATTGCCAAATGTGCATTGGATCGCAATTGGTTGCTGAGTATCATTTTATTGTATTTTCATAATTATCAACTTAATATATGATTTTTTTCGTTATTACTTACTTGTAAGTGCACAGTAAAGTGTGCTCTCTCCAGATGACTGGTGTTTACCGAAGGCAGGATTTTGCGCTGTCATATGACCACAGAATGGATTGTAACACTTTTGAGGTAAAGGTATCATGGGATCGACCTGAAATTTTTAGAAGAACATAATTTTTGGAAAAAAGGAGAATATAACATAACATAAATTTGGCTGATCAGGATATAAACTGTACCGTTCGCCTCACTGAATTTTTTCCCCGCTTACATATTTCACTTCTCTGTGATTTCATGTAGGAGTCTACATACAAAGTTACCTGATTTTCTGATCAACTGATTAGTCCATGGTCAAGTTTGCAGTGCAGGAGACTCGTTATTGTGATGCCCACTGAATTATTACTATTAATAAGTGGTTGGAGTTTATCATCAAGAATCCTTGAAGCTACCTTTTGTGCTTATTAGCACTGGTGAGGAAGGTGTGTCTGTGATATTCATGAGAGTAATGTCTCCAAAAAACTCGGACTCACACCATCCACTAGCACATTCAGCTATTCAGGCTAAGATTAACACATTCCTAAATATTGGGTATGAGCCTGAAACACCCGATAGTCTGCAAATGATCGTAATATGCAATAAAAACTTTTTAAACATTTTATTATCTGTTCTTATCGGTGGGTAGGATATGTATCAAGTCGATTCTAAATCAAAAAGCTCAATTGTCTCCATGACATAACCTTATTTAGCTGATGAGAGAGACACAACCATTTGGTCAGTGGGCTAAAATATCAACGATGGTAAACTTATCGAATATAAGGTGTTATTCAGTTGACACGCATACATCTTCAGTGTTGACTTTGTGCATTCGACACGTCATCACGTAGCTAGAAAACCATGACGCATCTATCCATACACTAATGGATGATTAGTTAAATAGTTAGAACCAACTGGTGAAAAGCTGACAGCTCTAGTACGTCTAAACATCTCCAAAAAATCCATGGTTTGTGTCCAAATATCTACAAACGAGCACTGGTAAAAACTCTGTTTAGTGGAGACAGGAGAATATGCTCTATAAAGAAATTAGAGAAAGAATTTCTGATTCTTGAGAAGATGTTGAAAAACAGCGGTTACCCTCAAAAATTCATTAACAAATGCGGAAGATTTAGAGGTTCAAATAACAAAGAAATCACAAATGAATTGTAAAGGTAATATTATTGCAGGAATGGTTAACAGAAAATTGAATGCCTCACTAGCCAGAGCCTATCCTGCAGCTAAGTTGGTTCTTATTTATCGGACAAGATGCTGTTTGGTGCAGTCAGAATTCAAAAGATAGCCTTCTTACATTAAATCTAACTGTGGATATAAATGAACATGTATCTGCGGTAGTAGTTACATTGGGAGAACAGAAAGAAGAGTCTACCTTTTATTTTATAAACTTGCACCAATAAGCCTGTGTTTCAAGGGAATAAAAGCCCATAACAGTGCTTTTTCCAGGAATCTCATCAATACAGATCAAAAAGTGGACACTGAAATTCTTTAAAATTGTCAACAGAAAAAATAGTCCAATTTTCCCTAGGTTTTCTCAAGCAATTGCTATCAAACGCCTAAAACCCAACCTATTTATTCAGAGAGAAGCAGTTATTAGTCTTTCCTTTCTCTGGTAACTTGATGTTCCTGACTTCTCTTTTATTTGATTAGGTAATCTTTGACTTTAAACTCTCCCCACCTTTGATTTAGTTTAACTTCGTTTGTTTTTTATTTCTATGATTTGAGCCGAACTCACTACACTGCTACTTAACTGGTTAGTTACTCAATATCTTATCCATCTCTTGCCTTCATTAAGCAACTTCTTTTCCACTGTATCCAAGTATTTGTTTTTTGTCCAAAATTCATAGTACCATTTGGTGTGTACTCATTACATGCAAATATCCCTTCTGAACAGACTGTAGAAATTGTGTGTCAACATTCCGACCTACTTCCTTCACGTAACCAGAAATTTAAACACCTAAGAATGTGCAGTTCATATTCAATGGTGCCATGTAATGCTAGACTGATAGAGTTGTGATTAGAAGTTTATTAGAACCCGTCCTAGCAGATATTTTCATGGGATACCTTGAACAGACAAGCTCGAAATACTCGACTGATGATGTGACACTTTACAAGAGATATTCTCATAGCACATTTATTACATGTTATGATATTAAATATTCCTCCCATTTGCTTGACTTATTTAAAAAGGTAAATAAAAATACAAATTTCACTATGGGGTATGAATAAAATGGTAAGCCCCACATTCTGGATTTCAGACTTCTAACAACTACAGATTGTAATATTCTATGATATATTCATCATAAGGAATTCTGAAACGGGCAATATCTGAATGCCAATAGTTTTAGTACAATAAGCGTCAAGAAAGGTCTGGTTAAGACACTGTCCTACCTCAATGAAACCCTTAATTAGCCCTTCAATCACATGTATTCATTTTTTATCAAATGGCATAATTTTAGTCTGAAGAGCAGTGTCTTTTTATTTCGGATGAAAATCAGCTAAGAAACCGTCGGAAAGATATTTCATTCAAACTTAAAACTATTCATCAGTATGTACAGATGATTTCATTCAAAAGTCCAACCAATAATCATTTTCAGATTATCGATTTTGTGGGGATTTGGGCTAATTCCATCACAGATTTCATCTCTAGTCAATGGCAGTTAGAGAATCGTTGGAAATAGCTAGGGAATACTGGGAAGCATTGTTTCGTCCTAATTCTTGGATCTTTAACAGTGTCAAGCCATCATTCCATCATGGGGAATCAAACCCAGGACCTTCAAGTTACGTGATCAACGCAGTGACTATTCAGCCGCTTGGTTGGATTTAAGTGATCTGTGAATTCTCACTTTTGTCAGTCTGTGATATAACATCACCGCCAACAAGTGCACACAATGAGTGTTTATTTTGTCGGTGGTTTAAAATTTGACTTTCTCAAAAGTAGTGTAAACTGTAATTGTTAAATAATTGTTAATAAATTTTGAGTCTTACTGAAAACATCTGTTCCGACTGTTGACCTGATACGCTTGATGAGTTATTATTATTATTGTTCATTTCATCGGCTAATTGATTTTGTACAAATTCAGTAAAATCCACTCCCATAAAATATCCATCCATGTTTGAGTCGATTGATTTTCGAGTGTGATTACTAAAAATTATAGGAAAAATAAAAGCATTGGTTGGATATAAGAAACATTAGAATAGAGACAGAGTGATTACAGCGTCTATTTATCAGTTGCTGTCTGCTACACCCAACAGACGTTCAAATATGGTTTAAAGACTGTCGCTATGAAGGACAGAAAACAGATGAAGAAAATGAGATACTATTCAATCAGAAACTCTTTACTGATAGGGTTCCTTAGGATAGCAAGTTATGACAGTTTTTGTGACAACTGGTCGTTCCAGAATTATTGAAAATGTTCATGGTATACTGCTTACTGTGTCATGACGACAAATATATATATATATATATATATATTCAAAACTCAAAAGAAGGAAGTTTTCTTCTCGACAAAGTCAGTAGCAAGGACGCAGATCCGTATATACACAGCAAAGGGGCAGAAGGACAATCTCCTGAATAATTACTATCCTGTTATGTTTTTTATCTGAACTCCCTGTTTATTTTTCATAAAATAACAATTTTAATCCCCATCTTTTATGGTGTTACTTGTCATAAGTCGATCCTCAACCGGAAGTAATTCTGAGATTACCTCACCTCTTTACTATATTTACAGGAATGTAAGGCTTAGTTGGTGACTTCGTCAAAAAGGAATTTTTCTTCTCTGCAACCTCTGATCTGCTATGTATACTGGGTTCACAGAGATGAACTGATAGAATAGCCTAAATTTTGCAACGTTAACGTGCAGTGGTGAGCACTGACCAGTGGAATGCTTCCCTATCAGTTTGCATTAAAGACTCAAATATAAGAGCACACTTGTAATCTAACATTGTGACGACGCCCCTAAGGACTATTAACCATCTGCCTGAGGTTCCATCTAAAAGATGTTTCATTCGGAGATAAATATCCATACTTCAAAAGACAAATGCAAACTGAAGAGAATCCGAAAAGGAAACGCAAGGGTAATTATAAGAGTTCTAAAACTACAAAAGTTCCACTGCTTCTAGAACTATAAATCCTCTCAGTCACCACTGTGACGTTCGCAAGTCGAGATCAAACTCCAGTTCTCTGAAATCGTGAAAGCTGCCGACACTCCATACTAATGATCAAATGGTCATGTGGAAAGCAGAAGTAACAAGGAACTGTGCTGACGAACCAATAAAAAATCCATTACACGACAAAATACATAAAGGAATGAACAGTGGTCGGACATACGCAGAGGAGACCTCGGAGTAACATCACGCGCTAGACCCTTGAATGGAATCCGGACAGGAAACCACTAGTTGAGCTGAGAGGGTGATATGGAAAAGATCGTGTGAAAAGGAAATTAAAGCTTATGGCCAATCGTGGAGCCAACTCGATAGGATTGTGGAGAACACAGTGAAATGGCGATATTCTACAAAAGTCCTATGTTCCATTAAGAACTTAAGGGAATAACGGTGTTAGAGTAGTGATTGCTATAATAAAGGTTAAATCCATTACTCTCAGCATAAACATACCTGCTTTGACTTTCGCTACAGTTTTTCCAGTTTATTTTAAGGCCACACTTTCTAAACTGTTGTTTGCTGCATCTAGAACGGACACGTCTCTTTCGGATATAAAATAAAATCGATAACAATAAAGGCAGAATGAGTAGAGAGAGCAAGCAGATCGAGATTATTTGTATGAGATCATTCACTGTCTGTTTATCTAAATAAAATTAATCAAAAAGAAAGAAAGAAATAAAGATTTAAAAAATGAAAGGAAATGGAATGACAAAACTATTTAAAAGTTTGACTGATTTCCCAACAGTAATAGAACTTTAGTTGTGAGCTCTTGCGAGATTATTTGACTTCAGTTTGACTATCTATAGATTAAGTATTAAGATCTGTATTATTGTTCTCGCCATGCCTAGATACGCGTCATTTTTACTGCCAAAGTCATCGTTCCGTAGTTCCGTGAATCAGTCATTTCTGACTGACAGCAAGATAATTCGCATCAAATATTTTTCGAGAGAAGTTGCTTACAACATCCAGTGTAATCAGCTTTACAGGATAATATGAAGGAGCAGATGCAAATTCAAAACAAGTACTACTGCTACGGTACTTAAAAGTCATCTACCGAATGGTTTCAGGTCCACTTTCTAACCTACTGACTTATTCCTTGTGTACTTGAACTAGAGAAGTTTCCAGTGGTACATGAAAGCTACACCACTGCTTATGTCCACTTCTGTGTGCATCTAACCTTTCATATGCTCTTATGTTCTCTCTCGAGAAACACTGAGCTGAAAACTACAAGGTTTAGTTGACAGAAGGCAAACAATGGATGATGAAGCTTTCTATTTGTGAGCACTTTAGTGAGTCAGGTCACTTAGCCTCACTTAGCAGTTTATCCTTTGAAGTTATCTGCAAGGGCTAAATTCAGCCACCCTAAATCTTTACGCTTTCTCCTTCTGTGTAAAGCCAGAGCTCTAACTATCCATCAGAAAACGCCTCAAATGAGTGTTCAAAAATGTTCTGTTACACCACTTTCTTTATCTTCATTTAGTAATGCTTTTTATTACTTAATTTCATCCCATCTCAATTTATCTTTACTGTCATAACTGCTTGATAGGATCCCACATATTTTGGTATTGACTGTTTAATCTTGCATATATGGTATGTTATCATTCTCACACATTTTGGTATTTACTGTTAATCTTGTATATATGGTATATTATCATTCTCACACATTTTGGTAGTGACTGTTAATCTTGTATATATGGTATATTATCATTCCCACACATTTTGTTATTGACTGTCAATGTCGCACATATGGCATATTATCATTTCTCACACACTTTGTTATTGGCTATTAAGGTCAATTATTTCAAATGCTGTTAGCTGTCCATATTGTTGTAAAATGTATAAATACCATGGCTTTCTTTATCGTTGTTGCACTTCAATACACAGTCACAGTCCAGCCTTTGTCTTTTGATATTTGCGTGCTTTACTAAATCGGAAGGTACGACAAGCAGATAGGCAGATTAGTTCAGGCGCAGACAGAATAAGGTGAAAACGTCTTCATTCAATTCCCTACAGTTATAACAAATTGGCGACGGGGTTTTACCTTAATTCAGTGCAGTTATAACAAATTGGCGACGGGGTTTTACTTTAATTCATTGCAGTTATAGCAAGCAAACGACGACAGTTTTTATTCTGTTCAGCGCAGCTATATAACATTTTTGACTGTGTTAATTACAACCCAATTACAATGTCTATCTCTCTGGACGATCTCAAATCTATCTTGCAGCAGCAGCAAGTTCAGAATGAAGCAGCTCAACTAAAATTAATCGAAGCTCTCACTCAGAAGCTGTCCATTCAAGTTCCATCAACATCTCATTCTGACAAATATGAAAGCATCTCAAATTCCATCAGTGAGTTCAACTACGACCCAATATCTGGTCTCGTATTTGATGCATGGTTCAATCGTTACGAAGACGTTTTCCGTATTGAATGCTACATGTTTGATGATGCTGCCAAAGTCCGATTGTTACTAAGAAAACTTGGTACTGTTGAGCACAACAGATATGTTAACTTCATTCTGCCTAAGAACCCACGTGAGTTATCATTCGATGAGACAGTCACCGTTTTATCACAAATCTTTGGTGAACAGTCATCCATGTTTAATATTCGGTATCAATGTTTTCAGTTGACAAAAATGCCTTCCGATGATTATGTGACTTACGCTGGCAAAGTGAACAAGGAATGTGAAAGGTTCAAACCACACGAAATGACATCAGATCAGTTCAAGTGTTTGATTTTTATTTGTGGGTTGAAGAACCCAGAAGATACTGACATACGAACTCGACTTCTGTCACTCGTGGAACAAGACCCGAAAATGACTTTACAAATGGTGACAGCAGAATGCCTACGTTTAATCAACTTGAAGCACGATACTGCTATGGTGGAGTGCAAACGACAGTCGTCTGAATTTGGTTCGATTAACACAGTGAAAAGTCCTCCGATCACCGTTAAGCACACAGAACGTCAGTCTCAAAATTCAGCTAAACCTCCTTCAGTGTGCTGGCACTGTGGTTCGTGGCATTTTGTCAAGTTCTGTCCTTTCAAGAAGCATAAATGCCGTAATTGTCACCGTTTTGGACATAAGGAGGGTTACTGTACACCGCAGAAAAATCCTTCGGTGAGGAACAGAAGTAGTCGTTTCGAGCCGAAACAATCTCCTCGAGTACAGACCATTTTTACTACTTCCAAAGTCGAGTTCGCCAGCAAACGTAAGTACATAACACTAGATATTAACGGCAAACGTATTCGTCTTCAGTTGGATACGGCATCAGATATCACCGTAATTTCCCGAACTACGTGGCGCAAACTTGGTTGCCCACAGATTCTGCCGACCGAGCATGTCGCCAAGAATGTCTCTGGAGATATACTGAAACTCGTGGGTGAGATAAATTGCCAGGTTCAGTTTGGTGAGCATCACTTCAATGGTGTATGTTACGTTACAAACTACCATGATTTGGATTTGCTTGGTCTTGACTGGTTAGACAAGCTCCATATCTTTAATGTACCATTAAATTCAGTATGCTCTAATGTTTCGTCTTCACCACACAACGTTGTTCCCGGAGATGTATCTGATCAATCTCTCTTGCAACGCCGTCGTCAAAAGCACGCTTCTGTCTTCCAGGACAAACTTGGTTGCTGCAAACTGTTTGGCATCCAGCATATTCGTAGCCCCCCGTATCATCCCCAATCGAATGGACAGACTGAACGTTTCGTCGACACCTTTAAGCGTGCTTATGCAAAAGCGAAGGGGGAGGGAACAACAGAAGAAATTTTGGATAAATTCTTGCTGCATTATCGTACGAATGAAAAAGGACAGTTATGTGTCAGACACACAGATCACGCTCTATCCAGTACCACGCAAAGGTCAACTCGACAAAGAAGAGCTCCGAAACCTTTTCAAATAGATCCAAAAAGCAAGTCCTACACTCTTTACGGGGAGAGGTGATAGGATCCCACATATTTTGGTATTGACTGTTTAATCTTGCATATATGGTATGTTATCATTCTCACACATTTTGGTATTTACTGTTAATCTTGCATATATGGTATATTATCATTCCCACACATTTTGTTATTGACTGTCAATGTCGCACATATGGCATATTATCATTTCTCACACACTTTGTTATTGGCTATTAAGGTCAATTATTTCAAATGCTGTTAGCTGTCCATATTGTTGTAAAATGTATAAATACCATGGCTTTCTTTATCGTTGTTGCACTTCAATACACAGTCACAGTCCAGCCTTTGTCTTTTGATATTTGCGTGCTTTACTAAATCGGAAGGTACGACAAGCAGATAGGCAGATTAGTTCAGGCGCAGACAGAATAAGGTGAAAACGTCTTCATTCAATTCCCTACAGTTATAACACTGCTGATATCACCGTAATTTTAATTTTTGACATCACTGGACCTAATTTTAACTTCTTAAAACCCCTTTTCTTCTGCAAATAGTCTCTCGTAATAATAGAGGTTTTTTGTATTTCCCAATGAATGAAAAAAACAAAACGAGATTAAATTAACACTTGAAAATTAATCGGATGCTCTCTAATGACTGACTGCAGCATGAAGTTTCCTGGAGTTCTAATGAGCAGTTGTGACCAATGGAGTCCTCCAAGTCAGCTGTGAGGACTAATACTCGCCAATGACACCAGTTGGTGGTGGCGGTAAAAAATAGACAGAAGTTAGGATTTATGTATCATTGTATCCCCTCCCAGTGGCTGAATGATTAATAAACTCGCCTGGTAGCTTGAAGTTTCTGTGTTCGAAACTGTTGAAATTTCCCAAACTGGGATGAAATAGCTATCCAGAAATCCATGATTTTCAATGATTCTTTAACTGATATCAATCTGTGACCACACTCGCTGAAATTTTTTTTATTTTCCCTTATTGTCCTAAATATATAAACACCTGGTAGAGACTTGTGGGGAAGAGAAATATGACCTTGTATTGATTTTTTGTTAAAAGTACAATGTAAAATATTCCTTCTATTGTAATAACAGAAGGCAAGGTACATTTTCCATTTATCAAACCGCTGTTTATGTATATAAAGTTTATATTCTTTAACCAATCACTGAGCGTGTGATTTCAGTTTACATCAAACGATATGAAGTGGAACGTTCAAATATACATAGTATTGTAATGTTAATGCAGCATATTACCGTGAGAAATGTATTCCAACCCCAGCAACAAACAGAATGTTCAAATAGATATATTGTATTTTGTTGCTTGTGCCGAAATGAACTGTGGGAATATGTGAGAATGGTATTCCGATGGCACACATTGTATCACACCACTACACTATGAGCTTATATACTGTCACTGAAGGCAGACAGATGTGTACATCTCGAGGTCCTATGTCCTATGAACTCCACATATTTCTTTAAATATCTTAGATTGTATCCTAGAGAATGAGCATTTTATGTGACCGTGACTGTGGTCCTGAATCTGTAGCTTCTTGTTCTCCAGTTTGTGCTATCAAAGACGAAATAGTTGACTGCAAGTCAGATGCCTAAGGGTTAGATATAGTGGGAACAGGTAGTTGACTTTGATCACATAAGATGCAGGACAAAGTGTCTGGATGAACTTTCTTCATCTTATCAACCAAACCGTATTTTCTAAGTCCTCCTTGACGAGTCTATAGAATGGTCTACTGCAGACCTGATTCTTGTCGTATTCCAAAGGCTCTTTTACTACGTAGAACACTGGCACTAGCTTTACCAGCTTTAGTTATGACAGTAGACTTATTGGATTTGGTGGCTTCTAATACATGAAGTTTTTTTCGTCTATAAGGTTTCTGGTAATCGGTTTTTGTTCTTCTAAAACACATTCATTCTTCGAATTTGAGTTCGTTTAGTTCATTATAAGTTAACCCTGGTTCTGTATTACTGCTATCAATGGGTTCCTTGCTACGCTGAGTTGTTCATTATTTCATTGCTTTGCGTTTTGAGTGGAACATAGAGCTTCAGACTTAAAGCTTTAAAGTTTCACATGTGTTAGGGTCATTTCTTTTACAGGATGTGGTGGCTATCCTAATTCCCAATCTTCCTTATTTTCTGGTTTGGTTGTACTAGGCTAGATTTAGGAGTGCGTTCGTCTGCCAGGAATCAAACCCCGAGCCACATGGCATTCTGAACCGCAAAAGCACATTAGTTGTTTCTTGAGCATGCTATAAAATGTTCTACAATTTATCTAAATTCATTTACTTCGAGTATGTTCTGTTCAAACTGCTCAGTCTTTCAGATTTTTGAAATTTGTCTGTGTCTGGGTTAACACCTATTCATTACAATATATCAGAATTACAGGAAACTAGTCGTTAAATATAAAAATATTAAAACAATCGTCGATTTTATATAATAAAACGTCAATAAATTGTGAAAATTTAAAAAGGTGGGTGAAAAATACTAAAACTGGAGTGCTTATAAGCACATTTTTCATTTCTCTGTAGAGTATAATTTTTATTTCAAGCTATTAAAGAAATTTGAATAAAGATGCCTATTACAAATACTAAAAGACTGATGAGTAGTCAACAAAGAATATTTTTGATTGGACACTATAGTCAGTAGCGAGTGTAATGTGTCTAGTCCTTTCGTTTGGTGCAGACTGAACTCTATCAGTCAATTTTGCAATGTAGCCACCATGCTAGGTGGATCACCATCATGGTGCATTATGAATTGGTGGTATTAGATGGTTGGAAGCAATCGGTAGGAAGCCTTTGACTTAGGTTTCGTGCTAGTTGGCATTCACCAGTCAGCCAACAAGGCGTATCTGCAACCTTGAAGGAACTCATGTCACTTCTGTGATTCTAACGCACATCATCCACCGCTGCAGTTAGAGATGTTACCACTGAGCTAACGAGTACTAGTTAACAATAAACAGTTCACAGTGCACTTTGATGGCGAGCCACCCAGCATAGTGGCCACATTGCAAACTTGACTGATGGAATTCAGCCAGCACCAAACGATAGTACTAGACACATCACGCCAGTTACTGACTAGTTTCCAATCAAAAATATTCAGTACAGTCCTACAGGAGGTCAATCGCGAGCCTGAATAGTTCAGTGGTAACGTCTCTGACTGCAGCACTAGGTGACGTGGGCATGAATCTCAGAAAAGACACGAGTCCCTTCAAAGTTGCAGATACACCTTGCTTGCTGGCTGGCTGGTGAGTGCCAACTAGCCCGAAACCTAGGTACAAGGCTTCTTGCCGACTGCCTCCAAATATCTAGCACCAACAACAAAGACTATTATTTTCTACGACATTTTCATCATGTAGACTCTATAGTTATGCATCTATAATAGTTATTGAATAATTTTCCTGTCAACATCAGAGTCACTTAGATCAGTATTTTAAGGGGTATTTGTGAATAGACTGTTAGCAGATGACAGTTCAAAACGTGTATATGTGACGATCTGCATAAACATGACAGAAATAGGATATTAGGACGCCTGGTTCAACCAGACCATTTCGCCCGCCAATCAGAGAAGAACCCTTTCCTGTCATAGGCTGTGTACCGAATAAATCGCCAACAAAACCATCATCCACCGAATACTCTAAACAGTAGAAGCCATAACAGTTCTGTCAAAACAACTTGAACCTTGTGTACAAAAGAAACAAGTTTATTTGCTTCTAATGACATGGTCTGTGGTGGAACCTGCGAATTCATGAGTGTTATACAACACCATGCATTTTAGGTGCAACCTTTCACTTTGTACCCATCCATTATTTAGTATTACATTTGTACAAAAAAGCTCTTATTTTTCTAAAAATTTACCTTTAGTTATTCGCAACACGCTGACATACACTCGCATGTTTTGAACTGTAATCTGTCTGTGTATACCTTATGGAATTTGATGTCAGTGGTTGGATATTATTCAGAAAACATCAGTGATACCAATACCAATTATTCTTTCAGTATTATGAGTCTATTTATAAACTTGTGACAGCTTTCAACGACTGTTGATTTGATTAGTTGTGGGTGGTCTTCAGGTGTTTGTAATAGATCATAAGTTTGATCGGTCAGATCTTTGAGCCAAAACTGACTGAGCTTGGAGCTTCTGGGTAATTTGAAGATATTTTGTAGGATTTTGGGCCTAGAGACGGTACTATCATTTGAATTGTAGACATTTCAATTTTTGAAAAGCTGAATATATATTTTTTCTAGACTGCACTGGAATCGAAGTCCAGCTTTATAAGGGTTGGCGTGACTACTGATCTTAATCGTCAACAGCCTGAACTCAGAAGGACATATTTCTCTCAAATTCATCAAAACCTTGATTGAACAGAATTAAACTTTTTAAATTTTATGATCAACGTTCTATTGGATTTGGTTACGTCTTAGTAACTTGCAGTACGTTTTCGCAAGTGTAGGATTTGAAGAAGAAGTTATCGAAACGAATATTCATTGTGTACGTCGGTGGTATAGTGGTTACGATTCTCACTGACCATGCACATAGTCCCAGGCACACCCGATATCTATGGTCAGCATGCAAAATTTAGGCTACCGATATCACATGCTGAAATTTTTCATACCTGTACCGAAAATACGGTGTGGAATCAAGCTCCCCATTGGGTCCCATTGTGGCTGATTTCTTTCTAAGTAAGCTAGAAAATGGACCTCTGAGCAACCTTATCAGTAAGTTCTCATTTTACTGCCGATATATGGATGATACCATTATTCTTTGTGACAATGGTTCTGGTAGGAGTACAATAATCACTGAATTCAATGAAGTACATTCGGCTACGAAATTTACATGCGAAGAGGAATACCAAGACAGAATTGCCTTCCTGGATGTCCTACTTACCAGAAAACTAGATGGTAGCATAAAAAGAAATTTGCATAGAAAAAGCACTTGGACAGGACAATATACACATTTTCACAGCTTCGTTCCTATCGATTATAAAAGAAATTTAGTGAAGACCCTCAGTCACAGAGTTAGAGCTAAATGCTCACGAGAAGTAATTGAAAATGAATTAAGCATTGTATATGATACTTTGATCGAAAATGGCTATTCCGAAAAATTTATCAAGAAACACACGACAAATAAAATGGAAAAGGACTACTCACTATCTGTAAAAAAGAAGCCACTTTATATACGACTACAATTCATGGGTGATATACCAAGTAAGATAATTGCGAAGAAATTAAGAAAATCACTTCAAAGAACTTTTACGGCTAGTGAACTACACATATTATTCTCTACACGACCGATGGTGATTCCTTGAATGAAAGATGAAGTACCTAGACTAGCCACTTCTAATTGTATCTACCAATTCAACTGAGCTTGTGGAGCCAGTTATATTGGCCGTTGCTCTAGGAACTTGGTTTTTCGTGCTCGAGAACATCTCGCAGCATGGATAAGTAAGGGTGTAGTGAAAACTATTAACGGCCCGATATTGGAACATCTGGTGCAAACAGACCACAAAACCAGCGTAGATAAATCTTTCTCTATATTATACCGGGTGCCAAATAATTTACCAAAAACATCGAAGCACCACAGGCTCCAAACAGTAGAGGCTATTGCGATTCACCTCAAACAACCAGCGCTCTGTATCCAAAAGAAGCAAGTCCAGCCCCTACTGTTGCCATGGCCTTCAGTAGAAACTATAAACTTATGAATTTGTAATATTATCCTTCCTAATTCTTCTGACATTCAGCTTATTTTATGTTGATGCGATTCAACTGTAATCTACCATTATTATTGATTTGATGTTATTTAAACATTAATGTCGTTCATAAAACTAATTCATTCATTCACTATAATGTATGTATAAATGTAGAGCCTGATGATGAATTTATCGAAGACAGTACTCTTTGTTCAGTATCCATTCTTTTAAAAAATTTTCATTGAAGAAAAAATCACCTACATTAAACACTGAAAACTTTTGTTTTTAATCTATACTACTTAAATAGCTATAAAGTAGCTCAAAATATTTTCGAAAGAATAATAATGAACGCTTTTCTGCTTGATGCAATTAACTTACCTTGAAGGTGTAAATTAATTCTAAATGAACTTGTTCCCAGCTCATTAGTGAAAGTACACTGATAGACACCTTCATCAGTCAATAACAGTCTATTTATCCGTAATGTAATTATCCAACCAAATGAATATTTTCTGTTATTAATTATATATTTAGATCGTGGTAATGTATTGTGATGAGTTGCAGAAATTGATATTTTTGAATTCCATGTAGAAGATGCATTGATGACAATTAGAGATTTATTATTGCTATTGCCCCGGTTGTCGTCTAATATATATTTTCCATTAAAAGACCATATTGGATGAAAAAAATTTAGCTCAAGGAAACTGATCACATTGCATGAAATTTCTATTGATTTATCTAAAACCCCATAGGTATCAAGATTACTATATACAAAAGGCTTTCCTGTAAAAAGCAGAAATGCAAACCATGAGGATGAAAAGTGTGATATAATAAAAATGCTTGAAATATAAAGTCAGTAATACCGAAACTTATACCCTACATAAACAGGGACCGAACGCAAGACTGCTAACCATTCAGTCACTCGGATAATTCCCTTCTGTTTCAGTTGAAACATATGACTTCAAACCTTGTGAAGTTTACGCAGCAATCATGTCGTTTTATTCGCTTAGAATTGCTAGCCTTGCACCCTACCTTCCGGGCCCACTTTGAGGTATTAAACTAGGTGAGAACTGGGGTTGAGTCGACAGGGAGTAGATGGATGTCGGAAGTTTACTGGTACAATGTCCCTTAGTCATGACGGAAGTTCAGATCGGTTTCCAGACTAACACATTCTTGAACGTCGCCTGATTTACTAGCCAGAAGTGATCTTAGAGAAGTGAAAAGGTTGAATGTGACGCTAGCGACCCCTTCCTCTAGAAGAATCAACACCACTTGGAGGCTTGAAGTTTGCGATCCTATGTCCTACTCGGAATGCAAAGCAATGAACAGTCAACAGGTTCACTTTTTACCTGGAGGGTTCAGGGTTCAGTCCCTGACTGGGTCACTGGTGAAGAGCCTAAAACCAGGACGTAACAGTTATCCAATGCTTCTTGGATTTCACTGTTGTCAGTTCGTGCACGATATTCATCTCCACATTAATGAGAATCTGGATTTATAAAATAACAGAATTATCAATCACCGATATCCTTGCATTGTATTCACTTCGTTTTGAAACAGTTTACTAGGAGATGAGCGCTGAAACAATGAGAATTGAACTCAGAGTCTTAGTGAGAACGTTTAGTTCGACTTATTTTCTTACGAAAACACTTAAATTTAGTCAAGGAACCACTCCACTTCAAAATCGGTACAATAAACTATAAAAACCCGTAAAATGTTCAGTTGTTTGTGAATAGTTGACTATCACATATCACTGTCATCTAATAGGATGTCTGTATGAAAGAAATGCAAGATATTGATCTGATGTTCAAAATGTGTCACTAGAAGGGATTATCAGTATTTACTCAAGATATTAGGTATAGATATCATTCATCCCTACAGTAGTACTTATCCATATGGATACTAACAGCTGCCATAGGAAACCATCTTCAAGTCACAAGAGCTTCATAATTAAATTATGGATTTTGTAGGCATTTGAATAAATTTCAATGTAGATTTCATCATGAACGAACCCATCAGTTAGAGGTCATTGAAAACTGCCAGGAGGCAATGGACGGCCGCTTTGTTCTAGTCTGTGATTGTTCATCAGATCTCCACTTCACTGTTGACTACTGGATGGATGTCCTGAGGTTGTACTGAGAAGTCGTAGCCATTGGTGCCTGCTGTATCAGAGTACAGTGGATGCCTATAGAAGGCATTGGTTAGTTAAGGGTAACACTATACCCCAAACAAATAAAACTTTGAATCAACGGGCCATTGAATTCTTGCAGAAGTTGCTGAACAGTCAACGAATTTGGTCTTGTAACCTGAAGATCCCAGATTTGATCCCTGGTGGAGTCTTGGGGGCGAACTGCAGAGGAAATACAGACTAGTACGAAACAGCTGTTCACTGCTCACTGTTGCCTTCCAATGAATCTTCAGCTGATAAACAAAGTAAATCATTATACCTGAGACCATATTAACTAGCTGGGAAGTGATAACTATTTTTGTTTGTTGAGTTTTTCTTTTTCACACTGAGTATATTTCTCAGCTTGTATATATGCTGATTATCGTTCAAGTCTCTCTTGGGATCATAAACAGCATATATTCATCTCTAAGGTCAGATTAACCATGAGATGGTCACAAGTCAGTTATTGTAGTTATTTTGATTTTTTTAATTTCACAGTGTTCTCTGTCCGCCTCCCCGAACCACCCTAGAGATACCATGTTTAACTTCGACAGAAGTAATTTAATAAATGGAGAGAGAAAGGGGAGAGGAAACTGCCTAACCAATCTTTATCTTGTATATCATGAGTTCAGACCGAGTTGTAATCCTATTTGTGTTATACCACTAAACAGTGAGATGAAATTTAATACAAATCGACGCACCAACCAGCTCAGGCACACACACACACACACTCAAAGGTGAGATTAGGTCAATAGCATGGGACATTACTGAGCTGTAATCATAACGCGATTATTAATAATGGATTTTTGTCATTTTCGTATGATATATTCCATTAAGATATTTCAAAACTTTTTAGTTAGCCTTAAGGGCACAGTATGTTTTATATTCAATAATTGAATTACTCGGTCTCATGTGTCGTGACCTCTTTCAGCCGATGGAATGATTATACACTCCTTATCTAAATTTATATATTTAATGAAAGATGGAGAAAGGAAATGATGTAACTGAGAAAAAAATGGTAGAATTATTCATTTTATTCCTATGAGAACTTTTAATCAGTCTCATATATAACGCTAATATGCCCGACCGTGAACTGTAACTTGACAGTCTGTCTGTCTGTCTGTCTGCTAATCAGAATTCGAATTGTTTTCATATTATTGTGACGATTGCAGATATTATGTTTTGTAAGTGTATGAGCGTGAAGAAAATTTATTGAATGTAAAAGAATATTCTTCGTTCAGACTTAGTATAATTCATGACATAGGAATGCTTCACAGTGTTAAGTCGTGTATTCATATTTTGTCTGCCTTAATCTGTTAGTCAGAGGTAAACTGTTCGATTTTTATAAACACGCCATGACAAAGAGAATGACTGTGTGAACTACACATGAGATTAAAAGTTAGGCTTCTCCAGATAGAGATACCGAGAGCTTCAAATATATGTAAAGAAAAACTACTTAGGTAAAATTGAGTTTGGAAGGAATACGATAGATAACTGCGAATGACTTTTTAGCATCAGCTTTATGTCCAGCATCTCCAAGGTTACAATTTCCCTTTCTTCTAAGTCTCCATTATGGATACAGTGTTACACAGTAATATTAACTGATGGCGTTTCGAGCACAAACTATTGCTCATAATCATATCAAGTTACTCACACAACATTTTTCCTTCATTTATATACATGTGTGGAATTGACTAGATATTTGAATAAAAACCAATATGGGATGATGTACATTCAGAAATGATAATATGAGTGTTATTGATCAATTATAATCAAATGCAGATATATTTATGGACAGCTGGAAAAATATGGCTCTTAATACGTTTAATCCTACTCCGAAAATATTGTGGAGATATATGGAAGACACTTTCACAGTGTTAAAAACAGAACATATGTCTAGCCTCTTGATACATATAAACTCACTAATGGAGGGAATAAAATTCACATTTGAATCAGAAAATGAACAAGGAGAATTAGCTATGTTAGATTGTAAAATAAAACGAATAGAAGAAGGTAAACTACACACTAGTGTGTACAGAAAACCAACTCATTCTAATAGATACTTAGACTTTAATTCATCTCATCCGTTAACTGTTAAGGCAGGCTTAGTTAAGTGTTTAACAAACCGAGCAGTAGCACTAAGTAGCACAAGAAAAGACCTAAATGATGAACTAAAACAGATAGAAGAGGCTTTGGTGTTAAATAACTATCCTTTAAAATTCATTAGGAAGATAGAGAAAGGCCAAAAGCAAAATAAAAATAATTATGAAACTAGTAATGATAACATAAATAAGACAGGATATAAGTCATCTACTGTTATACCATATAAGGAGGGAATATCTGAAACCCTACGTAGGATTCTTAATAAAGCAGGAATTAAGGTGGCATTCAAACCTACAAACTCACTCAGAGACAAGCTCTGTAGGCTAAAAGACCCGGCGGACACGCTACATACACGGATATATATACTTTTGAAATTACATTGGGAGATATAAGGCTGAAGAGTAAACAAACTACATTGAATTAGTCATGCAGAAAGACACGTGCGAATGTTTTCCAGGTCATGTTCAAATAAAGCAAAATAATATAATTTACAAAATACCCTGAAATGGCTGTGGGGTCAACTACATAGGTCAGACTAGTAGGTCGGGGGTAGTCAGATTATCAGAACATAAGAATTTAGCTAAGGTAAGAATGGTTGACCCCGGAAGGATAAGTAATTTATAAAATAGCTCAGCAATTGCATTTCACGCATTAACACACAACCATACAATAGGGTGGGAGAGGGTTAAGATTCTAAGAAGTAAGGTGGAGAGAGAGATTGATTACTGAATCCTTGTTCATTGAGTCTGCATCCAACACATGCAACAAAAACGACTCAATGAAATACCAGAAATATGAAAGATGTTACTACTGCAAGTCAAATCAGAAGAGGATAATAAATAATCTCAAAATTCTATTGCAGTTCAAGCGCATCACAACATGGTGACAAGTTACTTATTATGACTATAAAAACACTCGTCTTATTTCCAATCTGATTGTAATTGATCAATAACACTCATATTATCATTTCTGAATGTACATCATCCCATATTGGTTTTTATTCAAATATCTAGTCAATTCCACACATGTATATAAATGAAGGAAAAATGTTGTGTGAGTAACTTGATATGATTATGAGCAATAGTTTGTGCTCGAAACGTCATCAGTTAATATTACTGTGTAACACTGTGTGATTTATCAAAATAAGATCTTGTCGATAATGGAGTTATACTCCACCACAGTGCCCAAGTTTTATACTTATATCCTTCTAACTCTCTTACAAGTTTCTAGTGCTCTTTCAGTCATCTTTAATTGTGACATTTATTTAATACCAGATGACCAGATGTCTCTGAGTGAGTTTGTAGGTTTGAATGCCACCTTAATTCCTGCTTTATTAAGAATCCTACGTAGGGTTTCAGATATTCCCTCCTTATATGGTATAACAGTAGATGACTTATATCCTGTCTTATTTATGTTATCATTACTAGTTTCATAATTATTTTTATTTTGCTTTTGGCCTTTCTCTATCTTCCTAATGAATTTTAAAGGATAGTTATTTAACACCAAAGCCTCTTCTATCTGTTTTAGTCCATCATTTAGGTCTTTTCTTGTGCTACTTAGTGCTACTGCTCGGTTTGTTAAACACTTAACTAAGCCTGCCTTAACAGTTAACGGATGAGATGAATTAAAGTCTAAGTATCTATTAGAATGAGTTGGTTTTCTGTACACACTAGTGTGTAGTTTACCTTCTTCTATTCGTTTTATCCTACAATCTAATATAGCTAATTCTCCTTGTTCATTTTCCGCTTCAAATGGGAATTTTATTCCCTCTACTAGTGAGTTTATATGTATCAAGAGGCTAGACATATGTTCTGTTTTTAACACTGTGAAAGTGTCTTCCATATATCTCCACCATATTTTCGGAGTAGGATTAAACGTATTAAGAGCCATATTTTTCCAGCTGTCCATAAATATATCTGCATTTGATTATAATTGATCAATAACACTCATATTATCATTTCTGAATGTACATCATCCCATATTGGTTTTTATTCAAATATCTAGTCAATTCCACACATGTATATAAATGAAGGAAAAATGTTGTGTGAGTAACTTGATATGATTATGAGCAATAGTCTGTGCTCGAAACGTCATCAGTTAATATTACTGTGTAACACTGTGTGACTTATCAAAATAAGATCTTGTCGATAATGGAGTTATACTCCACCACAGTGCCCAAGTTTTATACTTATATCCTTCTAACTCTCTTACAAGTTTCTAGTGCTCTTTCAGTCATCTTTAATTGTGACATTTATTTAATACCAGATGACCTGGGAGAAATATGTCCAGCCGCTTTGTTTACATTGGCCTATAATAATGTCAACAAATCCTCCATAAACTGATAATTAGCTCTTTAAATCCCCATCACAATTTTGTTTACATCAAAACCTTCGTTTCATTCACAAAAGTTTATTTGAGATCTTTTTGCAAATTCACAACCTTTCTCATTATGTCTATTACTAGCCCAGGTTTACGTAATGCCTTGAAACTTGTTAAAATGTATTTACACAATCCTGTTCATTCCACTTCATTAAATTCTTAATTATATGATGATTGTTCACTGAGAGTACTTTTGAGTTTACACCACACCATCGTTATCATATCATTATAACTGTTATTTTTAATCCTTGAACTTATTACGTCTAGCATATCCCATTTGTTGGTTTATTTCTCTATGGTATTCACATGGAAATTTATTATCTCCCTATTGGGGAGTTTATCAACAAAACCACACAACTTTGTCAAACTGAAGCTTGATTCACAAATCATTGTATTTTCATGTTTAAGAAATCTTATATTCATTCGTATTATCTCTCACAGTGCTGACTACACTCACAGGATATATATATATATATCCTTGTGCATATGCTTCGATGATGTCTGGATGCTCATTTCATCCTTTTAAGTGCTCGTCAGTTGGCTGGATAGACCTGCATCCCCAGTGAATAATAGTGTTCCTATTTAAATGAACACATGTAGAGAATGTTGTTCAACTTCGCTATTGATATGCCTATGGAAAATCGGGAGTCATTTTCAGTACACGTCAGAAACAAGTGTCTCTTATAACATTTTTATGCCTTTTTTATCGATTATCTTGGCAAATATATTTATTTCCTAGCTAAAAGTATCCTTTTTCTTGTAATTGGTGCTGGCCGGTAGTTCCTGGTGCTTAAAGTTTAACTTTGCCACATAGTCCTAACGAGTTAACAGTCAATTATCCAAACAATAGCCAAAGAGGAGACTGCAATGAAATTTGCACCTCAATTCGTGAAGAGATTAATCACTGAAGCCTTGGTTATCGATTCAACACCGCACACATACAATGGAAATGAAGCAACGCCTATACGGGAGACATCGGAAGTCGCAAAAAGCATATATGTATATATATATATATATATATATATATATATATAGGGCAAACTTTGAAACCGTGTGACTAAAAATGATATGATTATGAGCAATAATTTATGCTTGAAATGTCATCCAGTTGTTAATACTTCATTGCTGTGTGTTATTTAAAAGAAGCTTATCTAATATGGAATTACACTTTACCACATAGCCGAAGTTCTACATTTACATTGATTAAGCACTAGAGTTTAGTATTTCAGTCAGCTGGATAAGCCGAAGGAACATAGTCAAGTATGCATAGCATTTCACGTGGTATCATGTCACCTCAAGCGGTTATCTAGTTAGCTAGACACGATTCATGGCTTAAAAGCATCGATGCAGTTGTTTTTTTCCAAAGTTTACTCCCTAATTGTTTCCGAGTGGCGTTGTTGCATATCCCCGATAATTGTAGTGTCATAGTCTGTTGCAACGGTGGTTTAATGACAAGTTATACATGTTTTTTAAATGAAATTTCACAACAAAGTTTTTTTGATTTAATTAGCCGGATTATATTCTTGAACTGCTTCACATTTGTCGCATTTATAGCAAGAAATTTCGCTTGATACTGATATGTGCTCAGTGTCATGGATTAAAGGATGCAATAAGTTCGAAGGCTGGTGTATTTAGACCTATTTTCGGAGATGTGACCATAATCACCGGATAAAGCAGTTGGCGCCTATACAAAAACGGGATATGCCATATAATCATCTTTGTTTCCTGGTCTACGTTGAAGGACAGAATACGCGTTAACACTGAATATGTTCGATGAGTTGAAAAATTGTAAAAAACATGTATGTGTTGTACAACAAAGCAGAACTTACTTGCTTCTACTACGTATCGATTAGCCGATTGATTAGTGAATCCATCAGAACTGGCGATGCATATAAATTTCCATAATTTGAAAATCAATTCTTCACCTACAACTGGTATCACTTCTTTATTTTTTGAAAAGTAATTATCAATAAACCATAAATTATGTGAAGTTATTTCTGTATATTTAAGTAAATCTTTTAATTGTTCTATATTGAATTGTAAAGTTTGTCCATTTGTTATGTACACTAAGGATCGACGGCTTGGTTGCCATTGAAACCACTGAACCTGACCGGGTGGATTGAAATCTGTCCGACACTAATTGGAAAGTTGAACAAGACAAACGAGTATAATATTTAGTAATAGGAGCGGAATCCTTTAATTTTGTTATGTACTGCTGCTGAGTGAGTCGCCAATTACGTTATGTACTCGTCGAGTAGTTAATAGTCCTGACGCGGAAAGAGGGAAATCAGAAGACCACCAGGTTTACGACGATACTTGTATTTCCCAGACAAGGAAAATAAATATCACACAAGTGTGTGAGTGGAAGGGTACTTAGATGTACGAAAATGTGTAAAGACAAGAATGAACAAGTGTCTAATTTAAAAGTATATATGAAAATGACTAATATACACAAACCAATAAGATAACGTCTTACCATGATTGGTTGTGTGATACATTGTTTATTTAGTTAGTGGACAGACAAAAGCATAATGTCAGTTATAATGGAATATTGATCCATATACACAGCAAAATATAATAGACTATCAAATACAAAAACACACATTGTGTGGCTACATATCATATTTTCAAAACAGGTAGTAATGAAATGGAAAAAGATGTGTAGAATCAGAGGTTATCTTTATGTTTTATGTATCAATTGTCAAGTTAAATGTTGGTTTGTAAGGGATTTAATTGATTCCAAGTTTGATCGTGAACTGACGTCAGTGCTGAACAGCTGTTTCTCCGCAGTTTGCACTTCTTCATCTGTGGGTACTTATGGCTCGGAATAGAGCCCAGGAACTTCAGGTTATAAGGCCATTGGGTTCCGTATCCTATATATATATATATATATATATATATATATATATATATATATATATATATCACAAATTTCTTCGTCAGCTAAACCGACATCACGATTAATATGCTGGTGGCTCATTGGCCAGTAGCTTCAGGGCTCGAATCCAGCAGCACCTACATCTGCTTGGCAAACCGCGTAGTATCACCAGGACACAGATAGTGTACCTGGTTGATAGGGAAAGCCTTTCCGCTTAATGACTTTAATGTAAAACTTGGCTTGATAGGATACTGATTATGATGAGTTATCAAAAAGTGCGAATCACTGAAGTGCTTAGACGTCTTCAATTTTTGCACAGTAGAAATTCAATATGACCTAATTATTAAAAAATAAAACAGTTCATAAATGTATGGTGCTATTTACTATTGACTAGTCGAGAGTAATGATTGCCAACCAATCGAACAAAAATGATCTGAACATCGCCGGCAGATCTTTCCACCCTTTTACACCGATTTCATCATCGGCATGCTCCTATTTACTCAATTCAAGGGACTGAATCAGCTCAGACTACTCGATTATCAGTCAGTTGGTGGTATACATCATCCTGTATTTATGTTTGCTTACTTGATTGCTATTCATGATATTAAGAAGATCGCAAGTGTTGTGATTTGAATAATCCCTGATTCTTAAAGAAACTGTGGTGAAATTCCATCTCGAATTATGCAAATTGTAAATTTGCCTTCACTACTCTCCACGGTGCATTCATTATTTTTACGTAAATCAACAAAGAATTTTAAAAACTCAGTCTTTGAAAAGAAAAGGCAAACAAACATTCATAGTTACTCATTTGGTTTTGACTGCAGCCTAATGGGATTGCCTAATTCGCCTTTAGGCATCAAGTTTGTGTTCTTGTCAGATTGTGTAAACTTTGAACACTGAGCAGTACTCACTCAACCAAACTTTTATGATTGCAGTAATAAAAACGAAGAAAAAGGATATACGTATATCAAGAATGCAATAATCGAACATCTCGTTAAAACACTGGGCATTCCATCTTAACAAATGCCTCCTTAAGGTGACCTACAAAGCAAGGAAGAATAACCTACCAAAGGCAATACGCTTTCGTCTCTTTTGTATTGCTGAAGCCTTAGCCATTCATTTGGCGAAACCAGAGTTATGTATGCAAAAGAAAATCATCGACCAACTTCTACTGTCATGGTAACAATCGTATTGACTTTTACCGACTTTATATTTGTGTGATGATATCAGATGGTTGAAGACAATTGGCAGGAAGCCTTGGACCTAGGTTTCGTGCTAGCTGTTGCTCGTCAGCAAGGCGTATCTGCAACTTTGAAGAACTCATGTTCCTTCTGAGATTCAAACCCGCGTCACCCAGTGCTGCAGTCAGAGACGTTACCACTGAGCTATTCAGGCTCGCGACTGACCTCCTGCCAATTGCTCCCAACCATCTAATGTCATCAGCAGGTTAAAGATGAGGCAGTAACTCATCGAAGAAGACATTGCGAAGTGGTCGCGCTATGTCGTGAATTGGCAGAAGTTAGAATTCAAGGACGATTGGATCGGGTCCCAGTGGCTCAATGGTCTACGAGCTCGCCTTGTAACCAGAAGGTCCTGGGTTCGAATCCCGGTGGGTGCGTACTGCTGAGGAGCCCCAAACTAGGACGAAACAGCTGTCCAGTACTCCCAGGTTTTCCAGTGGTTCTCTAACTGATGTCAGCTCATGATTAAATCCTCCATGCAATCAAACAAAATCCCTACAAAACCAATACTTGATAATGTCATCAAGTCAATGTATACCGTGATGGCCACATACCTAGAATGGTGGCCACACTGCAAACGTGACTGAGAGAATTCAGTCTGCACCAAAGAAAGGACTAGACTAGTTAGTAGTGTTCAATCAAAGTACTGCTATCTGTGTGCTTGTTTTTTCTAAATTCGCATATCATTTGCAAACTGTTACATAATTCCATATTTTCCTTTGTTTCTATGTACATCGTGATCATAACTCACTCATTAAACTATTCATCTTATTACATGACTGTTTTACGCCTGTTCAACTTCTTTTATGTATTGATCACCATTAACAGCTATGTTTTTTCTTTTGACAATACATCACTACTGCCCTCTTACCAATCTTCACCCCTATGCCCCTTAGTTACGATCCGATTACTCATCACACTTTCGCTATGTCTTGACAACACTAACCCTAACTAATTTTTATATTCTTATCGGACAAACCTAATGTACACACACATACAAAAAAATAAGTATATATAATTGAAATTGTACAGCTAAGTGAATGAATTCACCGCCGAAAAGAGACGCTTCACTCAACTGCTTGTTTTGTTTCCAATCAAGAATTCACCTAGTTTTCATCGTTTCAGAAACAGTGGAATGTCCCTATTTATACATACCGATGATCATGAAAACTGGTTCTTCGGAAGAGAGAGAAATAAGGATAAAGAAACAGACATATTTTGCAAGTATTGATAAGAATCATGACATTTTATGTGATGAAGGTTTTAACAGATCCTTAATTTTTCTACCAAGATGCAACATGGACTATGGTGGTTGAGATAGCCAAGGGAGGTGGAGGTTACTCAACAGTTTCCGTTAAGTGCAGACTGCTGACAATTGAATTCTTGAAAGTCCTCTTTCAAAACAAGTCATATGTTCGCTTGACAAGCTAGAAAAAGATGTCGCTTACTTGTAATATTATATTCTGTGAGGTGGTCCAAGGACTGGTCACTTTATTACCACAAGAAGTTTGTGATCCTTGGTTGAATTTTGTACAGAGATAAACTGGATAAAATTGATCCTCAGGATTATGAATATCTGGTCCATCTGAAATGGGGAGAAAGTATCCCTGTCAAACATTTAATTTTTAACTTTGCGGGTTATTCATTCATCAAATGATCAACAATTGTGTTTAGTATTTAAGATTATCATAAATTTTGGTGCATTCAAGTTCTTTGAACTGGATAACTGAATTGCGAAACTTTGATTGTCTTGCGAGACAACATTTTTATTGATATTATGGAATAAACTTGTCTGTTAAAAGAACAAAGTGACACAGTATTGTTTACTGATGAAATTCCCGGCTCAGTTTATTGTTCACAATTGTAGTGACCCGATTATAAACAAAATAATGTAATCTACAAAATACACTACAATAACTGTGAGGTCAACTACATAGGTCAGACCTGTAGATCGGGGTGCTTAGACTATCAGCAACATAGGAAGTTAGCTTCTTCCACGAAAAAGAACAATTTAGAGAAAACCTCAGAAATCGCAATACATAAATGAGCACACAGTCCCACAACAGAGTGAAGGTTAGAGCTACGGATCTAAATAGAATATAGTTAATTATTGAATTGAATTTTTGATTTTCCCGTCGATTGATTGGACCGAAATGCTCGGTCTCAGGTTGACATGTCGGCTTCTTGTGCAGATGCTTCGACGATGTCCGGGCATTAAGTTAGTATACAATTGGTGGATGGTGGCCAGCAGTGGAATCCAGGATGCGCATTTCGTCCTATTTGGGACTCGTCAGATGGATGTACCTGCATTTCTCAGTGAGTGATGATGTTCCCGCCGAGGCTCGAACCCAGTACCCATAGTTTCAAATGCCAAAGCGTTACCCACTAGACCAATTGGGCCACGAGAGCCACCTCTTGTGCAACGGGTCATGTTAATTTTATTGAATGTTAGATTTTCCCGTCGATTTATTGGACCGGAGTGCTCGGTCTCAGTTTGACATGTCGGTTTCTTGTGCAGATGCTAGTGGAAAACGCTTTGGCGTTTGAAACTATGGTCACTGGATTCGAGGCTCGGTGGGACACCATCACTCACTGAGAAATGCAGATACCTCCAAATGAGGAGTCCCAAATAGGAAGAAATGCACTTTATCGTGGATTCCACTGCTAGTCATCAACCATAAATTAAATTCTAATTAAATACCCAGATATCGTCGAAGCATCCGCATAACGCCATAGTTGTTCAATACAATTTATCAAAAGTTTCTCAACCTAAAGTGCCAGTTTGTCATTTATTTAGGTTAATTTTGTTTTTCTCGTAGAATGATTATAATGGACTGGAATGTTCCTTGTCAGTTCACATGTTGGCTCCCAGACTGCTTATTCACAGTAGATTAGCTGTCACGGCCCAAGTGGCCTAGTGGATAACGCTTTGGTGTGTTAGAAACTTTGGTTTCTGAGTTCGAGTGTCAATGGGGACACAACCACTCACTACGGAATGCATGAACATCCAGTTGACAACTTTAAAATAGGACGAAATACGTATCCTAGATTCCACACTGACATTGACCACCTACCAGATATCAATTTGTCAGCTATTCTAAAACCTTTGGTAATTTAATTTCCAGGAAATGGATCCTATAAGATCTGTTAAGCAGAATGAATATTGTGGTCACAGTTGAGGAAAATACAGTGATATGTTTATTAGTAAGAACGTATCAACTGTCTACTGATGTTTTGGTTACTTTATGGTTCATTTATCCTCACCATTTGATTTTAACAAGAAACGATAGTCTAGTTACTATGATATATGTCAAGGTGATGTCACTTCAATGGTGAATAGTTATCACTAAATGGTGGCATAGAACCAGTTTCGTTTGACTAGTCGTCAGTCAGCTTCATCCACTCCAATACAGGTTAACTACTTTGAGGTGATGCGTGGGTATTGAATGAAGGTTAAAAGTAAATCACTGACTGCAAGGTTATCATTCAAGAATTCTGTCAGCTGACCTACGAGATTGATTTGTTGGTCAAGTCATCATTTCACTGCAAACATCATAAGTTATGCCTTGATGTTATCTGAAAGACTGAAGTTTACGAAGGTAACAGATTGTTGTTGGAGTATCCTTAAAGAGAACGAAATATACAGATGTCATTCTAACTTTTTATGACCACATATGAACGCGTTCTTTTAGACACTTTTATGTCAGTCAGAAAGGCCACTTTGATTGGTTGGTCTTAACTGTAATGTGACTTAAATCACAGGAATTATCATGTTCCTGGAGGTTAAAAATTCGGTGATCAAATTAATTACATAGTTTTCTTTATAATTTAATTTCGTTTCAAAATAATTTACATGGTCTCTGTTCAAGATTTGACCTAACAACTCTGTACATATCAGACGCTGAGGCAAGAGTAGATAAATGCAAGAGAAAAGCTGTTATGCTTGAAGATATCTCAACGATAAAGAAATAAGTAACTCAGACGATTTTTCGCTTTACAGACGGACTGGAACTTCTTCAGAGAAATGATCAGGATCAATATATTGTGATTATGATCATGAATAAATTAGCTATTTGCATTCCGTGAATGCTATCGATTAGTAGCTGACATCACTCGGGACACCTTTCTGTCTAACTCCAGTACAATCAATAAAAAGCATATTAATGCCATATTTAATTCTCGAAGATAATGTCGTGGACACAAACGATAAATGGATAAGTTCCAAGAAACAAGAAAACATTGGTCGGATCCCTATTGGCTGCCTGACTAACAGGTATTCATTCATAACAATGACGTGGTTAGCAGTTGGACCTATTAACCCTGTAGCTCACTGGTCTTAGAGCTGAACATCTAGGCACTGGGTCAGGGGTTCAAGTCCTGCTCCACCCAACTAAGATATGGCCCTAACACAATCGCTTGGCTTATTATCAAATGTGCTTGAAAATGTACATGTTGTTGAGTAACATGTGTCATTTGTTCTATACATCACTGTTATAATTCCCTTAGTTTCCGAATGAAGCATAGGGCTTCAGCAGTACAGCTCTATTTTGTTCCGCCCCCTTAACTCGTTTGTAGTTATCTCCATGATCACCCATAAGATCTCATTTTTTTCTCAAAAGATCTCCTCCATGCTACTAAGGGACCTACGCTCAATGCATTGCCATCCACGTCCCACTCCAAGGACCTGTGCGTGTTATCACTCAGTGGTCTCCCTAGCATGGGTCTGTCTATATCCATTTCCCGTGGCACATTTACTGGGCAACTGGTTCTTAGTTGATCCGATTCCTGTCAGAGTTTCTTGTCACTGACCTTTTCTAAATGGCCATTTGGTCTTTTGTGTGGAAAACTGATCATAGCAGAAATGATCCATAATAATAAAAATGAATAAAAGTGTAGCCAATGTCTCTTTAGAAACTTACAGTGTATATTTAAGTCGATAGAACTCTGAGAAGAAGTCACTTCTAGGGTTTCTTCACTCGTTTCGTTTCTCCTGTCTTCCATATCACTTAGCACCATTGACTGATTTGATGTAATCAAAATGTTTCTATCAGCCTGTACACTTTTAAACCTTGTACCTCTGATCTGACAGTTAACTTTTGCACCATTAAATATCCGATCGGGTAAAAATTCCACAAGATTTTGTTGTGACTGGTAATACAATAAAGAAGCATTTTTGAATGACTTCCATCCAATGGCTTGTAAGGAACCTAATTTCTCCTCAGGAATGTAACTTTTAGATTGTATGAAATATCTGTATAAGATAAAGGACAAAAAAAGATGTAAAAACAAGCAGAAGTCGAGGTAAATAGTGTGTATTTATGTGCATACAACTCAATTGGTATTTTCGGCAGAAGAGCACAAATAATATACAGCAATGGCAACCAAAACGTCAAATAGCGATAGGACTCAGTGCTCTGCAATAAGATATACACTGGAGAATCCTCGTCTCACAAAACAAGATTATGTGTAGACCCTTACGCCTAAAAATCTAGAGTACAGTTTACGATCATTACTCTGGTTTAACACCAAACCAAATGAACTTAGCCTTACACGCAGTCAAATCCAGATATAAAAAAAAATCTCTGAGGTAATAGATTTGCACAATTAACCTTTCGATCGAGCACATATACCGATTGTCTTAACCTGTGGTTCCTGTAGTACTGAACAGGATTACCATAGCAACAGCCTGATTGCGCTTCTTTAATGAATTTAGTTATCAGTAGAATAAAAAATGTTTCACGAAAGTCTAAAACCAGCTCACATTGCCGACACAACGGTCCAAAATATTAAGAATCGTGCTTTGCAGTTGTAAGACAGCCGACATCTAAGGATCACAATGCAATATCGCTTTGTAGCCACAAATGTTATAACTTAAGTGAATAAACCCCGTCGCTACATTGTTATATCTGTGCCTGCTAATTGTTATGACGGTAATGAACTCGACTGGTACGCTAATACGTCTATTTGTCTGTTATGCCTTCCGATTCACTGAGTCATGCAAATATCAAAAGACAAAGGCTTACCTGTGACTGTGAGATCTTTTATTGTACATTTATTAGGAAATAAAATATCATATTTATACATTTCTTTACCACAATAAAGTCGGCTCACAGTCGTGGTAATGGATTGTTCTTATTGGCTGGAAATGTCCATCCTCATTGGTTGGCGATCCAGCAAAGACGAAGGTGAGACAAAGGATGTTGAATTGGTCACACACTAAATCACAATATGCGTGAGAAATGATAGATCAGCACAGTTACTCCATCACGTGATAAATCACGCGATTCGTGAGAAATGAAAATATGTACTGGATCCTATAAACAAGCCAGTTATATCTGTGTTAACTTTTCTGACACCTTTGTCTTAAAATTCTGAAAACAGTACTCAAAAGGATCGATAGGCCACACTTTCATGGTCTGTATTCGTATTGAAAACCAAAAACAAATAAACTTTTGCTGGTTTACCCTACTTCAGGTTTCTATACCGGCTTAGCTTACTATATGGCAATCGCGTTACCATTTTACGGATGTATCGCCTCATTCAAACTCCACAACTAATATGGTCATCAAAACGGGCCGTGTATCACATCAAGACTCAAACACTGTAGTCTGCACCACGTAGCCATGACACTGACACAAACGTCGTTAGACCTTGTATACTGGCATGCACTTTATACCAAAATATCATTTCGTTCCTGATCCTCTGAATTAGTAAAGGAATGATACCAGTAGTAGTGTTTAGCTGAAGCTAGAAACAAGGTCTTCATATTCTGCTTCCTTTATTTTCCTTCTGCACTTCCTGTTTTGCTCCCTGAATATCACTGGACCTCTTCTTCTCAACTTGATCCATCTCTCTGCTATTCAGTATTCTTGTAAAAAGCATCACACAGTATACTACTTAAACATTCATATCAGTAGTACGCACCACAGTGTCACCTGCTGGTTTCTTTACCAAATATGGAATCTATAATACTTGGGTGGTTGCACCAGTAGGGAGACAATGATGAATGAAGCTTTATTTATGGAATCAGTTGAGAATGCATACTATGGCAATGATTTAACACCTGTCCAGGATACCACGATAGTTCTACTAACCATGTAGTAAATACGAAACGAGAGGCAATATTTAGTAAACAGCCGGATGTTTAACGAACCGGCCTCGTAAAATGAAGGTTATGGGTTCGAACTGTAGCGAGGTCATGGGTTCTCACAAATGAAAAGTCTCAAAGCATGACAAAAAAAATTTCTGCTACTTCCTGATTTTCAATAATTTCATGAGGAAATATACACTGAAAGTAATTCAAATCTCTACAAAACCCATATTTTGAATATCACTCATAGATGGGGAGACTTCCTGAGACAGCTGTGTAATAGCTATGGCTCAGAAACTTGGTGCGTGTTGTAAACCACTTTCAACAGACTGCAGACTTTTGTCAACTGCAGCCTTCACCCGATACTGGAAGGTATATGACCAGAAAGGATAAGCAACAAACCAACCAAGAAATTATTGTCCAACAAACATTTAGAGAAAAATATAAATTGATTGGTTATGTGTTGTGGAGACCCTCGACTGATATGACAGGCCAGGTAGACACCTCAGTGGAACCCGAATAGAAAACAATGAGTTTAGTGTGGAGATCATTTGAGGAGGAGTAACTCAAAGTTTATGGACAGTCGTGTAGTCAGCTGAAGGGGATTGTAGATAGTAGAGTGTATTGGAAATGTGCTACTGAAGCCATAAATTCAACTCGAAACTCAAAAGAACAATATAATAATAGCACTGGTATAAAAAGGGATCACTGAAGATTGATCGATACCCACATTTTTACTTCGTCATTGAAAATCATAAATTTTTATCAAAAAAAAAACTTAGTATACAATTGGTGGATGGTGGCTAGCAGTGGATTTACTCTACAACACACAATCCAATCCGTACTATTTTTTGAGATTAACTCATAAACTAAGCGAACGCATAATGACATCATTTGTCCTTTGTATACGTGACAAACTCTAAAACAACCTGCAGAAAAGTTCAAGGTCTACCAACATCTGTTTAACATATTTAGTCTATCATAGCCATCAAAGCAGGAATTTTAATCCAAAGTTCCATTGAAGATCATTAACACTTTAGTTATCACTGACCTCGTAATAATTCCAGTCAAGCCGTGCAACTTAAAACGTTTTATCAATATTAACCGATCTAAATATATTACTAATAAGAGAAGATAAGCAATCAGCGACCTGTTAATATGCAATGAATTTCTGCATATTAATTAGGCAATAATTACAAAGGAAGTGAGTATAAATACGTGATTATTACCTAGGTGAGGAAAACTGCTTCATATGTCAGTATTACTTCAACAGGTTTGAAATTTTAAGTCCGATGAACATGGTATGCAGTGGTGTTCATCCCACTGTGACATACAAATTCAGCAGCTTATCTCCATTCCAATCAGTTCTGGGATATCATTTCCTCAATTGCTCACAAGTTTTCATGTCTTCTTCACATGATCCCCAACAAATTACTCTCAATTCCAGGCCAAACCCATCGCTTTTGATTTGTATTCCAGTCTAGGGTCTGATTGCCTTGAATTTTCACCTCAGTTTCTTCTCAGTATGCGTCCAGTCCATTTCCATTTCGTGCTGCATGTTTGTCTAGTGATGGATGGTTCTTAGACAGTTCACTGCCTGATAGAGTCCCTTGTAGCTTATCCTTTGCACACAGATATGTGATCTTCATCATTGTCATTGAGTAAAGGCGGCTGCTGATAAAATGTGCAGCAGACTGTTGGAAACTCTTATAATGATGCATAATCCAAGTGCCTGAGCCATACAGAAGCACTGACTTGATATTATTGTTTCTTTTTGTGGTGACAGAGTGTTGTAGATCCCTACATTGATTTCATAATAATGACCTCTTACTTCAATCTCAGAATCCTGATTAACTTTGGCATCCTCCTCCATGAGTGGACAAGTTCTCCGACTCGCCACAGTGTATACTCTTCACTAATTATCTGACTAAACTAATCAACTTGGAACGGTAAAACGTTGTCGATAGACAGCCGATATTTCTGTTCAGTCGTAGCTAAGACAGTTAGTGCAAGAACAACAATAATAATAATAGTAATAGTAATAATAATAGGATTAATAGTATCAGTTTGAATAATATTGAGAAAATAAATTCGAATTACCCACGTGTATTCATATTTCACATTAGCTGGCATATGAGATCTTTCATAAAAACATCCTAGATGTACAGGTTGATTTTCAATCAGTACAATTGTCTGTTGACCGGAAGACTTGAGTATTTCCGAATTCGAAAATATTTTCATAAACACATTGGAAATATCTGAAAAATACGATAGAAATCATAAATAAAAAAAGGAATTAAAGATTTATCCGCTGTTTAGTTGCATTCATTCGAATTTGTATAAGAATCTAACTCTTAAATGTAGACTACTATTAGTGACCTCATTAAAACTTTGCTAGTTTTTAAAAACAGTGATAAAAGAAGAGGCGTTCAGCGAAGAGTTGTATCACTCTTAGGCTATAAAATCGCATATACATTTTGACAGCAATGACGGGAATGTTTCCACAGATTTTTTATTCCTTCATGTTTCTAGTTGGACATAGGGCTTCAAGCTAAAGGCTTGAAGTTGCGGTAGCAGTGGTGTTTATTTTTGCGGGATGGCGTCACTAGCCTCTTGCTCAACCTTCCTTCTTTACCAGTCATATAACTAGCTTAATGAGGCAAAGTAGTGCGTCGGCTGGAGATCGAACGCCTGAACACACGGATGGTTGGTGAGCACTCTACCACTGTGCCACTAACACAGTTTCCAAAGGTGTGTCATTAAAACTGTCAGGTTCTGGTAACAATTATATAATGCAGAAAACGTTAAGCGCTTAGAGAGTAAATTAAGCTACCTAAATTGAGTGATGTAACGTCACTGACAGTATTGAGTCGAGCTCAACTAGAACTCAAAGAAAGTCAAATCATGTTCAGTGTCATAAGGAGTAGCTATGTGAGAATGAAAGAGGAAAAAAAACTATAAACTTGCGAGATCAAGACTCAAAAAAATTTAGGCAACAAATGTTGATACAAACTAGGCCCATTATGTAGGTTCAGTGAGTAAACAAAATGCTTCTGTGTGCAGAGTTCAGGATTTCACAAATGCAGATTGCCATAGCTTCTAAGGTTTAAAGAAGTATGACTCTCATACTCTTTTGGCACGTTGGTTTGCGAATTCATTCATTACCAGACTGTCATTATTAATGCAAATTATCAACTAATCAAGACAAAAGTTATCTGGCGATACAGTTTATGCAGAAATCAAATTATTCCATGTCATATTAAAGCTTGCGCTGAAGATGTTGTCTAGATTGAGAACTATGAAAGCTTCGCAACTAACGCCCCACTACCTACCATTGAATGCAGAGGACGTAACCGCATCGAAATCATCCAACTGTGTTACTAATCTTCTCTGTTACCTGATGCGTCATATATAGATAAATTGTTTACTGAAGCAAAAAATGGTAGACGATAAACTCATTAGAAAAGTCAATGGCAATAGATGTAAAATTAGTGACAACATCGTTGTTGAAACGATCAATATTATGCTAAGTTAGAAGAACAGGTTAATACAGTATCGTTCATTTTCCAAAGTTAGTGTTAACGATTTTGTGCAGAGTATCACTGGACTCCCTGTGATCAAGAAATGCCATACAAACGAAATTCTAACATTGGTTTTCGGTATTTTAGAAACATATAGAGGCTAAATAAAAAAATGTCTTGTATAATATGAATTGGTGTTGTGAAATTCACCATTTCATGTTTAGTTAATGAAACTTACGTAGAACGTTTATAGTTAATAGTTGAGATTGTAAAGAGTTTATTTCAATCTCCAAATGTGATTTATTCTCATCGGTGTTAAGAGAATCTCTGACAACATTGCCATTCTTTACTCTGTGGACACTATCCACAAGAAAGTCGTTTTGATTGCCCAACGAACATTTGATTGGAATTTCATCAATCATAGTTCCGTGGAAAGTGAGATTCAGTATAGACCAACTTCGGTACCTAGAACAGAAAAAGAACGAACTGAATTCAAGATCTTGAATCTAAATAAATATATATACATATCAATAACGATTACCACTAAACGTTAGTTATGGAAAGAGGCTTCCGCTTCACCTAAGGATCATTATTATCGTGGTTATTCGCCCCCTGAGTTCACAGTGAAAAATGTGGCTTCGGTAGAACGTCAACATTTCACGTTGTTACTGACTGTCATTACTTGGTGGCTAGATGATTGTCCAAACTTCCATCCTTCACATCACATTCGGAGTCACACATGACTTGTCGTTTCCAATTGGAGTTCCTATCAAGCGTCTGCATAGCATGTAACGCTATTCAATAGCCGTCCCAGCCTATGTCTGATCCATCTATCTGCATTTCCGTCTTCATCTTTTTGTCGAGTAGTAGACTGTTGAATGGTTCTCTACCAGAGGTATCTGTTGCTTATCGTATCCGGCTGGAAATTCGCTTTCTAGTAATGATTGAAGGCAGCTAGGTGTCGGTAAGAGAATGTATCAGGCTTCTGGAAATGCTTGTATTCATGCTTGCCTCAAATACCTGAACTACACGTGAGCTCTGACTTAACATTAATGCTTAAAATCTGAATCTTGTTCCCTATACTGAGTTTGAACGACTTTCACGCTGATTTCAGATTAATAAAAGTCTGTCTTACTGTCGCGATTGACAATTTCTATCTCTCTATTGTTTAAATACTTACTGTTGATTGTTAATATATTTCTTATATGAATTGAATATAATTCCGCTAAATACAAATTCCTGAATTCCGCCCTCTCTGTGTTTTGGTTGGATTCGTGTAATTCGGTCATCTCGAAATACTAATACTACGATTACAAATAATTACAACAAATTGGCGTCGCGATGGAACTAAATAACTTTGGAAAATTTCCTATAAATGGTTCTCCGCGGGAGATTGCTGATTACCTTGAATGCTTCGATGCGTGGTGCATTTCAAAGAACGTTCGGGATGACAAAATTCCAGCACATTTCATCACTGCTATTGGGCTAGATGCATATAGCCTAGTGAAGAATCTGGCGTTTCCAGATAAACCATTTCTCTGTCATATGTCAAGAGTCGTGAACTTCTGATATATCACTTTCATGTAACTACATTTGAGACCAGAGAGAGGGCTCAATTCCATAAACTGGTTCGTGCTCCCAACCAGAAGATTAGAGACTTTATTCTGCAACTCCAAATACAAGCTTCAAAGTGTAACTTTGGAGATCAGCTGCATACTCAACTACGTGATCGTCTAATTGCTGGAATCAATATTCCTAAGTTAGAGAAAGAGTTAATTCAGATTCCTTCTTGTACATTTCAAACTGCTAAAGATTTATGTATTACATATGAAGATGTCAATAATGAATACTCTGCTCCCACTACGTCAGTGTCTGATGTTATGCTTTCTAAAGTCGAAAATACAAGTGTTCATGGAAAGCAATCCAAACTGTCGTCCACAGGTAATAGAATGCAGCGAGAGATCAAAAACATTAAACCGTGTTTATCCTGTGGAAAGTTACATCTACGAAGCACTTGCCGTTTTCGGGGTGCTAAGTGTCATAAATGTGGTAAAGTTGGACACATCAAGACTGTTTGCAGAAGTTCGAATACTTATGTTACTCAGCATTCTTATAATTCTCCCAATCTGTCTAGTAAAATGGAGTCAATGTGTCTTTCAACTTTTCAAAATACTCAATCTCATCCAATGAAAACCTCCACTACAAGTTCAGCAACTCAAGCGTCAACTGTTTTCAAAAATGTGGTAGCCGAGTTACAATGCGAACTGTCGAAAACACGAAAAAACTGAATGAGATGAGAGAGCAACTGATTAAAATGGAGGAATTGTTGCATATGCATAGACTGCGTCTGTTGAATGCAGAGCATACAAGTACCCGTGAAAGTCCTGCAAAACTATTCAAATCTCGAATTCTCAAAAAGCATCTGATGTCCACGACTTCTAATGTACATTATTACAAAGGGAATGACTATAGACCTTCTGTTGGAATTATACTACAAAAAATGGGAAATCGAGTGGTGAAGATATTAGACATCAAAGATCACTCAGTTCATAACAGACACCTGGACAAAGTGACAATAAATGAAGTAGGTCGTTCCAATTATTGTTTTAATGATTCCGCTAATAATCCTGATTTTGTAGATAATTCAGAAATAGGTCCAGATAATACTGATGGAAATAATATCACAGAATCAGTTAGAAGGTCAAAGCTACTTGCAAGCAAACCGAGACATCGTTATAAGTACGCAAGGAGACATTCGACGTGTGGCGGATGTGGTGATTGACAATTTCTATCTCTGTATTGTTTAAATACTTACTGTTGATTGTTAATATATTTCTTATATGAATTGCATTATAATTCCGCTAAATACAAATTCCTGAATTCCGCCCTCTCTGTGTTTTGGTTGGATTCGTGTAATTCGGTCATCTCGAAATACTAAAACTACGACTACTAATAATTACAACACTTACTTTTCCAATACTGGCTGACTTTGATATCCAACAAACTGCCAGAAGAAGCAGCGACAAGAGGAGTTGAAGTGGACATGGAGAAGATAGAGGTTTTGGAAGTAACTAACCAATAGCAAAGTCAACAACCAGTATCAATCACTATCAACGTGTGAAGTTTGAAAGAACTAACTTCCGTAACTTATCTAAGCAGCATGGTTTCACCTCCAAGCAGCAGGGATGGGGATGTTAAAACTTCAATGGGAAAGACGTGACACACCTTCGTCACACTGAAATTGATTTTGAAACTATCTGTACTCAGCATAAGGAAACAAATTCGGATTTTCAATACAAATAAATATTAAGTCTGTCAGCTCTTTTATATGGGTTAGACACTTGGCGCTTCACGAAAAGGATTTTCAACAGACTACTGCAGACCCTTATCAAAAGCTTCTTTCATTCCATGTTGAGGATAAAATGGCCAGAAAGAAATAGCGACAAGAAACTCTGGCAAAAAACTAATCAAGAATTGATCCTTCAGAGAATATTCCAAATAAAATGGAGATGGATTGGGCATACTCTGAAGAGACCGTTAAATAACATCACATACCAGGCGAACGCTCTAGTGGAATCTCAGTAAGAAATGACGAATAGGGCATTGGTCCGATGGTGATATGGAGAAGATCGTGCAAGGAGGAGATCAGAAACGATGGGCTATCATGGACCCAGCTAAATAGGACAGCAGAAAATAGAACAAAGTAGAGGTGTGTTGTTGAAGCCCTATGTTCTACTCGGAACACTAGGGAACAATAATAATTATAATATTCAATTTCCTTACAATCTAAAATCACTTAACCGGATCATTTGTGTTTCTTAGCCTACATCGGCTACGTTTGTGTGAGCATTTGCTTGCTTTGTTTTTTCCTTCACGTTCCCCAGTGGAACATAGGGCTTCAAGCTAGTGGGTTGAAGTTTCTGTAGTAGTGTCTATTTTACAGGATGGGGTTGCTAGCCTCACGCCCAGCATTATTTCTGGTTCAGCGAGGTAAAGGAGTGCGCCGGCCGGGGATTGAACCCCGGCTGTTTTTCATTATTCTTGTTATCACAAATCTCCACTTTTGTTATTAGCAGAGTTATTATTATTTTAATTATGACTAAGCGTACACTCCTATCGCCCTGTTGATAACTAATCACCATGATCGGTTTATTTTATTTAGGGGATAGTAACAAAGATTGGAATCCAGACAGGAAGCACCTTTCGTCTTTTTTTGCGGCTTGTCATCTGGATGTGTCAAAAATCCCCAGGGAGTGAGTGAATAGTAGTGTTCCAACCGAGATTCGAACCAGGCACCTACTGTTTCAAACACTAGAGCGTTACTCACTAGACCAATTGGACCACGAGAGATAAGTTATTATTTGGTTTAATTTTCAAGAGTTCACGTCTCAGTCGGAATATAATCATTCACTGAGGAATGCAGGTGCATGCATCCAGCTGATGAGCTCAGAATAGGGCGAAGTGCGGATTTACTGAATTCCGCTGTTAGTCACCATCCACAAAAATGACGTATATGTTAATCCCACAGACATTGTCAAAGCGTTCATACTAGAAGCTGACATGTCAACGGAGGCTGAAGAATTCTGTTTAATCAATCAACGGGAAATCCACAAAAACTGACTTAAAACAAAATAAGGAATAATTTATGTTAATTGTATTTATTTGTAAAGTTATGTACATTGGAAAAAAAACTTGACGAGACGTTGCTGAAAACGCTTTTATTCTCCGAATGTCGGACGGTTAGAGGGTCAGGAAGACAATGTAAAGATAGCCACCAACCAAACAAACAAAACACATTCCAGTAATACGAAAAAGGAAAACTTTAAGATTGCACTTACAATTGATAATCTGGTGTTGCGTCTGTAGTTTGAATAAATTCCAATAACTGACCTGTACACTGTACAATATTAGTATTAATGTTCAAAATTATTGATTTTTTTGTTCGATTCATAATATGACATTCATAATTTGAATCACAATAAGCTGAATTTAACCAGCTGAATAATTCCTCTTCCTCTTCTGTTTTCACCTGTTTATTCATAAATCCATGTAAATGATGATTAAATGGGAATTTACGTTTTAAATGAAAGTCAAATGTATGCGAAATACGAGATGATAAATCGGTATTTATTGATTTATTGTTATCATCATTATCATCAAATATGTCATCATTATTTACTGACCACTTTATCTTTCCTAATGGTTTACTCCATGATGACGTGATGCATATCAACTGAATAGATTGATTTGAGTGAAGCCATACCGATTGTTGGCTTTGTGTTTGAATCATTTGATGGAACGATGATGATTTTGAATAGTTATATTGATTTTTGGTATTGATTAGAAATTTGGATTTTAAATTTTCATACATCAGTATATTTAAATTTATTGATTTTGGTGGAACTGAATAGAAATAAGCAAGATTAGACAAAAAAAGAAATTGAAAGGAGATAATTGATTTCAAATAAAAAGGTATCATTAGATTATTCTGTGCTGGTAAGCTGTAATTCATATTTCCCACACTACCGGTTGTGATCCTCGAAATGAAAGATAGAGTACCTAGGCTAGCTACCTCTTCTTGAATCTGTCAACTCTACTGAGCTTGTGGAGCCAGTCCTTGCATCAGGAACTTAGTTTTTTTGTGTCTGAGAACGCCTACTAGAGTGGCCATAGAGCCAACTAGCATTGAAAATTCTTTCTCTATCATCTATCGAAAACTACCGAATAAACTGCTAAAGGTTTGTGAAAACGAAACATTCCTAACAGTAGAGGTAAATGCAATTCGACTGAAATAACTGGAGCTCTGTGTGGATAAGAAACAGGTTTAGATATTACTATCACCTTTGTTTTCTGTGGAATCCATAAATACGTGTACCTGTGGGGCAGCTACATTGGAAGAACAGAAAGAAGGCCATATCTCAGATTTTCTAAACGTGTACTAAAATGTTTAAGTCTCAAGTTAACAGATGTTTTGAACAGTGATATTTCCTGACATGTTGTTGATTAAGGCCATGAGATGGACAGCCTGAAATCCTTCAAGATTATTATTATTATTAGACAATACAACCCAACTGTACTCAAATTTGCTGAAGCAATCGCTACCAAACGTTTTAAAGCTCACTTATGTGTTCAGAAAGATTCATTTATTGGTCTTTCTTTGCCTTCGTGACTCAACACCTATTCGGTTTGTCTCAGATGATTACTTAATCTTTTGCTTTTATCCCACCCCCCGGCACCAATTTTTCCCCTTAATGAATTTCATTAAGGGTAATAAATGCTTGAAGTTCCTTAAAAATCGCCTTCCCACAGAATCTTTCGAATCACTCAATCGCTTGGTGACAGTTCGTTGCAGAATATCCAGAGAAGTGACTCGAATAAAATTTTACGATGAATGTTTGCAGTGCCACGGCTTTCCTCGTCATCTCATCAAATCACTACGTACTTGCAAATTACTGCTCTTTCCCAAAAACCTTCGAGGTATTACGAAATCGCATATTGAAACAACAGAATCTCTGATTTCAACGGTGTCGTCGATAATCTGAATATAGTATATCGAACCAAATTCATCAGTTTCATTCAACAGCTTCAACAGAAAACATGTGCAAATTTTTATAAAACACCGTTGAAATCCCTGACAAAAGAGAAAAATCCTGAAGAGTCTGTCTGTAATCTGTCATGTCTGAATTTAAGCCGCATTGAAATGGAAGCGCTTTTCCCCGGATTAAACTTTCATATCCCGATGTCGCAGCTCAGTTCAAAAACTTATTCTATCAGCTGAATGACCTTACACCAGTTGATGAGGACAAGAAGAACTGGTTCAAATCTAAGCTGGTCAACGTTGTTAATCAATTTTCAGTGTAATCCGACAACTCATCTTGCATGTTTATATTGTGACCTCCTTCATAAGTTGCTGTATAATAATTAGAAGTTCTGAACATCGTTCACTAATATGTGTGCCTCTATTAACAAAAATCATGTTGAGCCATTGCAAGGACGACGAAATTCTAGGTACATTTATATAGTCAACTTTCAGGCTGTAAGCAGCTCAAGAGAATCCAACGAAGTAAGTGATGGCGTCATATTATTCTGCACAAACATTTGTTTTTACTTTGCTTAAATTCATAAAGAGGAATAAATGTATGAAGACACTGTAATGTCTCAGTGTACATCTTAATCACTTTGAGATATGAAGGGCTGGGGGCCGCTTAGTACCTCCCACTGCCACAATTTCGATTGGTTTATGAAACACGCTAAGAATGGAATCTACAGAGTAGGGAATCAAAAACCTGGTATTTTCAAGTAAATGAGACACGATAACTTCTCTGAAACAAATGATGAGCTTCGATTAGGTTGGTGTACGCTAACTGTTTGCACGTAAAAATCATAAAATTTTAAACGGCGAGTTTAGCTGTGTAATCCTCTGAAATATGGTTGCATAATAACAGTCGGAGCACATGAAGTAAGCTGAACTGGTGTAGATCCGATCAACCAGCTGGGATGCGGAGCAAGAATTATACTTGCAAATTATGAATCTCTGCTGAGGTTTACATGTCTTCTCATCGTTGTGTATTTATAGTGAGTTTTAATGGACCAATCAAAATTCAGTCTGTGCTTATTGTGATTACCAGTTAAACAGACAGATAATAAATCACTATTATGCCTTTATAAATGCCAAGATTATGCACCAGATTTGATAGTCTCAGTTTTTCGGTACTTCAGTTCTTCTTTATGAATACATTTTCTACACATCTCATTTTGCCTTCTGCATTATTGAAGGGGAATTCGCTGACAAGATGGATAACCGCTGGAGACTGACAGTCGATTTTTGTGCGTAAGTCAACGAAATTGAATCAGCATCCATAACACATCTTGAAAAAACAGCAAATCCGTCCACGGACATTATACGCTAAAGTGAATGGAGATGAATGCTCTTCAAAGTCACTTGTATACGCTATGGAAGGTGTGAACTAGCCCTCACAAGTATTTCACACAAATGTCCAAGACATGACAGAAGGCGTGTTGTCACTATGGATACATTAATCTCTTACTAGTTATTAAATATTCAATAATTTGAACCACTTTTAATCATTAAATCAGCAAATCAATTTTCACAGATGATGAACAGTCCTCTTCTCGACTTTGTTAACGGAAGTCTTCAAGCAACACTGAACGTAACATTTTCTTAAGTGTTTATATAACAGTGGATGGCTCTAAGAAAGATTAGGTCATCGTAGATATGGTCATTATACACAAGAGTAACATATCAGAATGTGTCATCTGCTTGATACTATAAATGACAATCAAGAAAGCTGGTGAAATAGCGTGGTACTATACGCTGTTGATTGAGTGATATAATTAGTTGAAAAACAATCGCGCTAAACCAGTAGTCTTTGCTAACGACAGTTTCGCTCGATGTGTAATTTTTAAATGGCGAATTAAATTCTATATCTTACCGGTCAACTCATGCAGCCAACAAGAATTAAGATGGTTTGAACCCACTTGGAGCTCTCGGATGAGTCAGTTCGAGCACAATATTCATTAGCGTTGATCTCACAGGAAGGAAACAGCTTTTCAGCATTTGGATAATTTCTCCTAGACTAACAAGCACTACTGATTTGCCGTGAGTGATTCCAGCTGCTCACATCAATCATTAATATGTACCATCATCCTATATAGATATATACGCCGAACTGATAACTCTCGTTAAATGTTCATCTATGAGCCACCTTTACTAAGACAAGATCAAAGTGTGAATCATCAGTCTTCTGCTATACCCAATCATTTGTACCAAGTTCAACTTTACTCCTTAGTTTGTACTACAAATGTAAAGTAGACAGGGAATGAAAAGCCTGCAGTGAAGGTAATTTCAGACTTTAAACATAATTTTGAGGTGGCTATTTATAATTAGAAAAAAAAACAGGTTTCAGTTCTTATAAAGACCAGAAGATCTCAGTTCACTCTCTCGTGTAGAACTTCTGAATGTCCGTTATTCCCATCAGACAATTAAGAAACCGATAGACTGATCACTGAAGGAGAAAGAAATCATACCCACACTCACAAAGAATTCGTCAGTCACCCTTGAAGTCCCTGACTTCCTTGTTGTATTACACACAGATCGATGAGTGGACTCCATCAGACCGACGTATGAGTCACTTGTTTTTTGACCGTTATCACCATCTCTTGTTTGGATGTTAAATAAAGACACAAACGCTCAGTTTGAAGAGATTTTATCGACTTAAAGATTTTATTTATTTTGTTTACACCGTATTTTTGGTACAAGTATGAAATTTTCAGCATGTAATATCGGTCGCTTGAACTTTGCAGGCCGATCATAGATATCAGGTGTTCGTCGGCAGGGGCTCGAACCCCGAACCATGTGCATGGTCGGTGAGAGTCCTAACCACTGTGAATCACTGAGAACTAGGGGTAATTGCTCAGCTTTTTCGTCCTAGTGTTCAACTCTAACAAACATGAACCCAGGACTTCGACATGGATCAAATGGGATATTGTCACCAGCAGACTCTACTACTACTATGACCGTGGAAACCCATGCTAAACGACGACACTGGAGTAACGCAGAGTTATATCATGATCCCTGGAGGTGAAGTCGTGTATGAGGAAGAAGTTCAAATTACGACGAAACAGCTCTGTCCAATACTCCTTGTTTTCCAATGATCTCTAATCCGAATCTCTACAAAGAAACCCATTATTTAAAATCATTATTTTCACCAGTGAATAATGTTCAGCGAAAATTCACCTAATGTCACCTTTTTCTAAATATCTGTCTACAGACTAAGTTAACTCTAAGTGAATACAGGGTCAGCCACATGACGTTGATTAAGAAAATAGAAATACAATTGGGATAGTTACATATTCGCCAACTTTTTCAATATGTTTTTCGTCCTCCTCTAAAGAGCATTGGTATCCCATGGGATAATACAAAAAAAAAACATCGGAGCATAACACAACGTTAACATTAACATCAATCATGGCTGGTTTATTTGACCTGAAATTCTAAACAGAATATTTATACTTCGGTCCAATCAATCGACGGGAAAATCAAAAAATCCAATTCAAGAATATTTATACTACCAAAAGTAAATGAGATAATCACCAGTCTGTGCCGGGATAGACAATGAACACTGATTATGAGCCAAGGGGATTATTACCTAAGTAGTATATGACTTTATTATTATTGTGAGGAGGAGGAGGAGGGATATTTCACCTCCCCTCACCTCCCTGTGTTGGTATATTTGTCTATATGGCACTTCAGTAATGCATTATGCAGACAAAACCGATGGTTATTAAAGAGTTTCGGGTGAGAATCTGTCACAGTTTGCTTTTGGAAGGGAAAAGATTCAGATAATAATAGGTACTGCTTGTTGCTCCACATAGTTAGTCAGCTAGGTGGCTAGCCAAAATTTAGAGGATTTGAACTGATTCAGCTCTCTGAGCTGGCTCATACATGATACACCAATGGTTACCTTGGCTTCAAAGAAGACAACAGTGTTTGGATGGCTTACATGTTGGTAGCAAGCGCTACTGGTTGACGACAGTGGTTCCCAACTACACAGCATTAAGTATTATTATTATTGTTCCCTTGAGTTCTTAGTGGAACTGAGGGCTTCAATTGCACGTCTCCACTTGCCACTTCTGTCTTCTGCTGTACTTTTCACCTGCATCCATGTTAGTCCGTACTGTTTCAACTCCTCTTCACACTATCTCCTCCATGTCACCCTTGCACTGACGTCCCACTCGCCACTTCCCTTTCGGCCTGGTTCCACTCGAACAATGGCCTGACGCGCGCGATGTCACCCAGCGGCCTTCCCCCTCAGCGAGTGAGTGTCCAATCCATCTCCACTTTCTCCTGCATATTTGTTGGGCGATTGGTTCTTGTTTATTTTGTTTGTACCCATAGTTTCTTGATGTTGATTCTTTCCGGGCCGGCCATCTGATCTCCAGTATAGAGCGGAGACAGTTGTTAGTAAAGATCTGCAACAGGCTGTTGGATATATTCTTAGTGACCCACCAAGTTTCTGATCCGTATTGAAGAACAGTATTAAGTAAACTGACTTAATCAGTTATTTAAGTCAGTTTGGAGTTTCACATCGACTGACCGAACCGAAACGCTCTGTCTCACTCACTGGGTGCAGCCGGAAGACGAGTTCCAAATAGGATGAAATACGTATTCTCGATCCCACTGCTAGTCACCACCCACCAGTTGACTTAATCAATGGTTATTGTTTTCTTATTTCCATCTTATTACCGTTCTGTCAAAAGGACGAATATTTCTCACTGGTATCTGTTAGACTGCTCCTGGGAAACAACAGGGTTATAAGTTATTGTTATTATTATTATTTTTAGCACACATTTTATAATTAGCAGACTGTTGTATTCATTGTTATATTTCTATGGTGAACTCATTAGTATTTCTTAGATTTCATCACCCGCTGACATAATTTACAGACACATTGAAAACTAGACCATGATGATCTTTTATTTCCCTCTAGTTTATGACTTTTCAGCAGTGCGTACTCATGACCTCTTACACAACCTAATTAAAGACCATCAGCACTATTGGTAATGTGCTTACTTCGTAATCTGAGGGTTGTGGATTTCATTAAAGATGAGGTCATGTGTGTCAGCTACTGAAGAGCTCCTTGGTTTTCTATGGTTCTCTAAGTGATGTGAATTCGTGATGAAATATAACTTAAAAAGGCATTTCATGTTACAACCAACTGATGAGAAATCTGGAAAAAGCATAACATATCATCGTATTAAGTGAAACAAATGGTTCCCATCTGAATTTGGCGCACTAACCAAAGTAGAAAAAAAATCGATAAAGTAACTATTCATTTATCTAATCAAACAGCTTACCTACTATATTTAAATTAGCTGTATTACTTTTAATCAAACTCATTGGTAAGGCAAATGGATCATGCATTAAGAATTCTGACTTTGAAGAGTCATAATTGATTCGGTCAGAATTTATTGATTTTCCATCTAGTTTTGTGTGACTGGCTGTTAATTGATGCATACCTGTCAGTTGTTTGTAGTGTGAATTCGACTTCTCAACCAGCCTAGCCTGACAAGCATATTCACCTTCATCTTCATATCGGACACCGTTGATAGTTAAATCGTACATATCTAGAATAGAACAGAAGACAGTAAATGATGTTAGTTGAGAATGACGAGACAAGACAAGAGCAACTGTCGTTCATGTTATAAGTCGAAATATTTAGAAAGGATTTGATTGGTTTCATGTGAGACCACTCACTAGCTGACGTCATTTATACAACTGCTGAAAACTAGAAAGTAATACTTGGAAGTACTAATGACTTCTTAGAAGACAAATTTGCCTGGAGTGAAGCGGTGACCAGTAGGGTACACCAAGTAGGATGTGGAGACCATTACTCACCGATGACATTGACTGGTGTTGGTGGTATATTTCGTGAACTGGCGGAAATTATAATTCCTGATTTACTGGGTTCCATTTCAGTGACTTAATGGTCAGAGGGTTCACTATGTATCTAGAAGGTTGAGCGTTCGATCCCGTGTGCATGTGAGGTCATGGTCACATCCTTCTGAAGAGTCTCAAACAAGGATGGATCAGCTGTCCAGTACTCCCTGGTAGTCTTCAATAGTTCTCTAAATGATATCGATCTGTGATCAAAATTAAAATCAACGAAGTCTCTGCAAAATGACGCTTTTTGAAATGTTATTACTGATGTGATAATTGATTATTGAAGGTTAAATGGACGGTTAAAAATAGTCGTAAGTTTCAAACCGTAAACGCCCACACTTAAGCAGTGCGTTAATCCAACGAAGCTACGTGACTACTGTAGTCGTCCAAGGTAATCTGACAGGTATTTTCATCAGAACAGATTTGAGAACTTTGGATGCCACAAGAAAAGATAAATGGAAAAGTGATATTTTTGAGTAAATATTGATATTATTCTGAACACCTGCATAAACACACGCACACGCGCATATATATAGATATATATTGATGGGTGGACAAACATACTTCCACTCTGCTTCAACATATTTAAAGCCTACTCATGTTTTGTTCAATTATTGTTGCCGTTAGTTGGTTTTTCCCCAAACATCACGCTCTTATCGAGGCAACTGATGATAAAAGTTACTGTTTGTTTGTATATGTGTGTGTGTGTGGTTGGCTTTTATTTGAGTTTGTTCCGGTTAAATCTAAGATTTCTACACTTGTCTGTTTATTTGATTTCACCCACCTGATTATTTATTTGTTTGTATACTGGTTTCCTTGTTTTAAACTTAACAACAGATTGATAGATATGTGTGTGTGTTCATGTGTAAAGTATGGCTTGAAGCAAAATACTTTTTAGAAATAAGTTCGTAAAGGCTACTGATAGAAATTAATCTTACAGTAAGTAGTCAAGAATTCGGGCTTATTCGGTGACACACATATTTCAGATAGTGGAATTTGTGTGGGTTTTAGAGGAATTTAGGTTGTTAGATTTCGCTACAAACCAAAATTGGTTGAAGAGATCACTGAAAACTATCAGGGAGGACAAGACAGATGTTTCGTCCTAGTTTAAGGATCTTCAGTGTTTGGACACCCCCTACATAGTCAGAGATCGACAATCAAGTTCATAATAGCAACGGCCAATATAACTCCTTCCACAAGCGCAGTTATATTGGTAGATGCAATTACAGGTGGCTAGTCTAGGTACTTCATCTTTCAATGGAGGAATCACAACCGGCCGTGTAGAAAATATTTTTTGTAGTTTACTAGGATTAAAAGTTCTTTGAATGGATTTACTTAACTTGATAGCAATTATTTCACTAGTTACGTCAGCATTGAACCGCAGTTGTATATTAAAAAGTTTCCTATTTACAGATATAGAATACTCTTTCTCTACTTTCTTAGTCATGAGTTTCTTGATAAACTTTTCTGGATATCTATTTTCATCCAGGGTGTCATATACAATTCTAAGCTGTGTGTTATTGCTGTTAAATGGTACCGCAGATTCTATTTTAAACAGCTGTTTTTTTCTGTCTTCAGGACATTTTGCGGCTGAGCATAACTGAAAAGAGTTCAGGTTAGCTACACAGTAGATCACATATATTCGATTCCAGCTTTCAGACCCCAGTAAGTCGGTTTCGATCGTTATACAGCTGAAGAGTCATAAACTACGAACAAACAACTGTCCAGTACTGCTCTTTGATTTTTAATTAGTCTCCAACTGTGATATTATTTGTGACCAAATCAACACTGAAATTAATTCAAATCCCTAAGTGAATCCTTTAGTCTGAAAACTAAAATAGCCGAAATTAAAGATATTTTATTGAACAAGCTGTTAGGTAAAAGTGAAGCAATAAATGCGTTCTAACTGACCTTTCTCCTTTGATTCCATCATGGTGTATCTTCCACCGAATGTTTGTCTCAGTGCATCTCGATCATATCCAAATCCATCTTTCATCCATTGGACAATGATGTCTAACTTGTTAGGCAGTAGATTTGGCTTTATGATTTGCCACACTTCTGCTGAAGCTGATGAAGCTGACGACGATGGCGTTAGTGAGGATGCTGTTGAAGATGATGAACATGTCGGTGAGTTCGTTTCATTTGCCATCTGTGTACATTTATTTTCAACAGGACCTATATTTTGAATAAGCAGCTGAACACGACATTTAAATTGCACATTAGTATTGATTAATGCTCGTGTGTGCATTGGACCATTTATTAATAAGTAATGTTGTTTTGTTATTGTAGTAACACGAGAAACTACTAGCATTTGCAAAAGTAGTATAATTAAGAGTAGATGCAATAATTGTGTACATTCATTCACTGCAAGAAAGTGGAATAAAAATATTTTTCTGATGTGAATGTGTTTTTATCACATAAAAATATGCATAGAACAAAGGTAATGCTTTAAATGCATGCCGCTATATGCTACTTAATGACTGATATGAGTAGTTGGATAATACTAATATCAACCATCAGTGCATGCAAGCAGCTAAATCGATGGGATTTAAATACCGTACGGTCATTTCGTTCATCTGGCACCTAGCTAATCAGCGAAGTTTCTTAAAGATTCGATCGGATTAACCAGAGATAACCTTAGACTGATGGACTACAATTAAATGGTGATTACTCACGAAGGTTGGTTCAAATTTTATCGTGACACAAGTTTTCGTTCTGGCTTCAATCACCACGAATTACATCCAAAGCCGCTGCCAGTTGAAGGCTATCCCCATTAGTCTCACCATCAAATACCAACCCGCAACTGTTCGTTTGACAGTAAAAGACCTACCTGGATAGCTAGTGTAAAGACATTACACGCGAGAGTTATATATCATTCGTTTGTAATAAGAGCTTAGCATAATACGTAATCGTTATAGCAAAATACTGGCTTGGCTAACACATACGTTTCACAACTAGGCGAAGTTCAATTTTAGACACATAAGCGGTGTGAAGGCACCAGTGACCATGGACAGAGTAGTTGAGTTACAGTCCCACTAAAACCTAACATTGACCCTAATCTATTCCTAACTAATTCTAATATCTCCAATTAGGTTAATCTAACCCTAAGTTGTCCCTAGGCCAAACCTAACCTCAATCTTTCCATAACCTAAGCTAAAATTAAGCAGATATCCCGTTTATGACCTTTAAACTTCATTCATCACCCTTTTTTCTAAAAAAGTAGTATTTATCTGGTTTCATTGCCTTGCCCTGACTAGGCGTTTCGAAGTTCATCAGTGCATTCGCATACGTTGAGTTTCCAAAGTTTAGCTTCTCCCATAATTAATACAGATAATGCTAATTCGCCAAAATCTTACGGTGACGTAGATTTTGACTTTACCCTCGGATATTTTTTGTAAGGCAAAAAACTGGAACCATGAAGTGAGGATAAAACTAACGTCTTTTGTTTGGACAACTAAAGTTTCAATAAGTTTAACTCGTATAAAAGTGGAAGATAGCTTAGTGTACAAAATGACTTGCTCTTCGCATGATGTCTAAAATTCTCAAAATATCTGCATACTACTTCGAAGAAGACAAGAGAAATAGGAGGGAAACAATTGAAGGGGTCAATTTTTCTTGACCTTCCAAATGACAGTTTTCCGCTGGATATATCTAATTGTGTTCATAATTTATTTGATGTTTCCCTGTCAAAATAACAAACAGAAATCCTGTCAGTGAGTTTCAGTTTCTGTGTACCTATGAAAAAAGTGAAGCAAACTGATTTCAGCTGGTTGAAATCTAAGGTGGTCATTTTCGAATCACATAGGCCAATCAAAAGTCAAAAATTACGAAAGAACACTGGAGATATTTGCTCAGGCTCCAAAAGGACAAAAATGTTGTAATTTTACAATCTGATAAAGGATAATGTGTGGTTAAGATGAATTACGTGGATCACGTAGAAAAGTGCCTCAAGTTCTCTCTGATGAATCTAAATTCATATTGGATAATGACGCAAAAGATCAGACATTGCCGATTCAAAGAGAAATCGTGTAGCATTTACGACAACTTTTCAAAAATAAATACACTGATGAAAGTAGATATAAGAGCATTAAACCGATTGGGTCACAGATCCCAAAATTATATAAGAGTTTTAACATGGACACACCAGGAGTGCCCCTAAGACCTATAGTTTCAATGGTAAATTCACAACACCACAGATTAGCACAGTGGCTATGTGAATTGTTCAAGACGTTGAGAAAATAATTGGGAACGTATTAAGTTACCGATTCATTCTATTTTGTCAGGCAAATTATTGATCTCAGTGTAAGTGGTAGGCATCTTACCTCTTATTTCCTTATTCACAAATGTTCTAGTCATTGAGACTATTGACTTCATATTTAGAAAAGCTAACGACACACCCATTCCAACATGGGAATTGAGGAAATTATTGCTTGTACGTACAGATGACGTGCAGTTTTAATTAGATCGGCTTCTATTCTGTCAAGTCAATAGTGTTGCAAAAGGAAGTCCCTTGGGATCACTTTTTGCGGATTTATTCGTGTCAGGCCTAGACGCCAGTATCTTGTAACATCATATACAACAAAAGGAATTATATCTTAGACCCAAAGCCTGAAAATTATTGTAAAAATTCAACTCATACCATATGAATCTTAAATTCTCAATTGAACACGAAGAAAATGATACCATTAATTTCCTAGATGTTTCTCTAGTGAAAACGATTGATGGCACAATGGAAAGATCCGTATTTAAAAAGTCTTCATGGACAGGACATCAATTTTAAAAATTTTCTTGCAGCCCAGCATAAAAAGAAATTAGTCAGAACACCATTCAATAAAGCAAGAAACATTTGTTCTGGGAGTACAGTTAGACATGAAATAAAGATTCTGAAGGACATTTTACCCTGAGAAGTTCATCAATAAATACTCTAAAGAAATAAGCCCCTGCAAAACTACCCAAACACCTCCGAAGAAATCTGTCTATATCAGTTTCCCATTCAAAGGAGATGATGTACAAGAGTTAGTAAAACTAAGACTGGATAAAGCTGTCAAGTGAACTTATTATGCTGCAAATCCTTTATTCCCTAAGCCCACCAAGCGGGTGCATCAACAGTCTGAGGAAGGTCAGTCGTTAATCTTCGACACCGCAAACTATTCATACCAATTTGAGTTTGTCAGTGAAAGCAGACAAATAGGTCCTGTGGAAAGTCTATTGTCTACTCTCATGATAGAGAATTCGCCAAGGTAGTGAAAAACAGGTGAGATCAAAGCTCTTGAAACTCAAATAACTAAGCATCTTGTGGACTGCATGCACGATATTAACGCTGCCAAGTCATTTATTGTTGCCAGCAGACAAACAAACAGGAGAATGTCAGCATTTTCGGAGGCTTGTGCAATTAGAATTCATCAGCCAGGTAGGTCTCTGTGTACAAAAGGAAATGGTAGTCACTCTGAATCTACCATAGTTTTATTTGTTGACTGTTATTACTATTACTGTTATTTATATTTTATTCTACTTATTATTATTACTATTTCTGATTCACTTCAAACTATCTATTATCATTACCATTGTCTTAACTCGTTTTAACACCGTAATTATTAATATTACTGTCAATACTATTCAGTACGCAATTCAGGATATATTCAAGTACTTTCTCTGATGACTAATTGTTTATTTAAGTGATGTAATTGATATGGTGGAAATGGAGTGATAAGTAAATAAAAGCTTATAAGCTGTCGTAGAACAATATAAAAAGGACTGCAGAGTAAAACGTTGATGTGCTGCTGAATCCTTGTGTTCCACTCGAAACCCAGAGGAATGAGTAATAAATCAAAGTGAAATAATTGCCATTAGGACTTTAGGCACATGAAAACAAGCATACTGTTCGTATACTTCCTGCACGCAATAACCAACGGTATATTTTCAATTAACCAAACGAAATAAGATCGTGTTGACAATGAATTATGTGTTGCGTGTTTTCTTTTTCAGTTCTCCGTGCAGAAACAGTTTCAAGACATAAAGACAGAGTATTTGTGTGTATTTTTTGGGCATGTTTGTTCGCATGCTCTTTACTCACTTACTAATATCTTCTTCCTAACGAGGTTATTTCAGGGAAAACATTTACTTGTGTTTCTAGAACAGAGGAAAAAAGATAACGAATACGTCGTCCAATTAATAATAATTACATTTATGTGTTTGCTCCTCCTTCCGTTTTATCATTTTATTGTGTAATTTATTTCGATACACTGCGTCTGACATAAAGTTTGTACAGGTTGCCATGATCACTACTTAGGTCAAAGTGGCCGTCACCTTCGAATCCGAATCCAAGAACGTAAAAATTAGCTGTAAAAAGACACCATATTTATTCCGTCATATCAATGCATGTAGATAGTTACGAACACGAATTTGATTGGGATAACATAGAGATTGTAAATAGAGGGAACACCAATAATGCAGTCAGGGAATTTCCAGAAGCCTGGTATTCAAGCGATTAACAAACACATTATTATGGACCAAATTTACCAGCTGATAAAAAGTAAATCACCACATGACAAGAGAGTTGGAATTCCAAGTCAATAAAAATATGATAAACAGAGACGAAAATTTTTGCATCGGTGGCACAGCGGTTAGCGTGCTCACCGACCATGCCCATGGTTCGGGATTCGATCCCCGGCCGATGCACTCCTTTACCTCACTTAGCCAGTAATAAGACTGGTAAAGAGGGAAAGTTCGGTATGAGGCTAACAATCCCGTCCTGCAAAAATAAACGCTGCTACAGAAACTTCAAGCCTCCAGCTTGAAGCCATATGTTCTGCTGGCAATGTGAAGGAAAAAAAATAGACACGAAAACTAACAGTCAGTCACGACAATAGTTGCCAGAAGATACAATTGCATCATTCATGTAGAGTTTGAAATAGTCCATCTTACATTAAAACTTGTTCTTAAGATGTCCAGAAGGACGAGGAAAGCTCCACAATTAAGTCAACCATCTCAGAGAACACAACTAATTCAAAACTCCTCCTTTTGTCTTCTTAAAGAAAAAACTTATGACTAAAGAACTACCCTCCTATAATTAGATTTCATAGTCTCTTTCGGACTCATCAGTAATTCTTCAACCGATAGCTGCTACACATCGCAATGACCGAACGAGTTATAATAGCTGGAATTAATGTTCTTTCACGTTCCACCAGAGCAGAAAGGTTGTCTGGATAACGACTAGACTCAAAACAGCTACTATCATAGTGTAAGCTATTTATAGTATTTTGCGGGACTGTGGGCGTAGTACTACTAGTAGTCAATAGGAATCTCACAGCAGTAAGGTGTTTCTTTCATATGTTTAGCACTCCAAGTACACTGCCTATCCGCTA